TAGGTAATATTTATACGAATGCTGATGTTAATTGTGATAATGTTAATATTGCTACTGATGGTAAATTAACAATTGATACAAATTGTGAATTATATAGATATGTTAGTGCTTTTTCATCTTTTGATATGAGGAATACCGATGCTAATTCTTCAATTAGATTTATTTGTGGAGATCCTGCCGTTCAATCTAATATAGTTGGAGCAGTTAATATTTCTACCGGATGGACTTTTAACACTTCTACTGCTGATGTAATGGGTAATTTATTTGCTGATCATATTTATGTTAAAACTAATGGAGCATTAAGAAGTAATCATATAGCGCCTAATGGTGGAACATTAGTAACAGTTGATACTAACTTAGCAGTTCAAAATGCATATTTAGCAACTAATACCATTCAATCATTTGATTTAACAACGGTTTCATGTTTGAATAATATTTCAATGACTACTGGAACAGATCTAAAGATGGGAACAAGTGAAATATCAACTTATTACGATGGAACTAGTTTATCTACAATTGATGTAATATTCAGAACATCAAACACGGCGTTTAGAGTTGCTGATAGTTCTACTACCCCTTCTGTTTTATTATCTATTGATAAGACATTTGGAACAACAGTAAATACTGAAAGTTTTACAAATAATGCTCCATCGACTTTTAATGAAAATGTAACAGTTGTTAACACAAAAACATTATTTGTAAATGATATTCAAGATGCTTCAGGCGATGCTATTGATATTACCGCTGGGACAGTAACCATAAATGGAAGTTTAATAGACAACTCTGATGCAAGATTGAAATATGATGTAGATTTATTAAAAAGTAATTGTATTAGTATGATTAAGAAATTCAAACCTAAAAAATTCAAAAGAAAAGATAGAGACAATAAGGATGCAATCCATATAGGTTATATTGCTGATGATTTATTAAAAGCAGTTCCGAAAGAAATTAGTAATGTAGTTCATACCGAACGTGAATATTTAGGTATTGAATATACAAAAGTTCCAATATTATTACATAAAGCTTTACTGGAAGTGATAGATAAAGTTGAAAAATTAGAAAAAGAAATTAAGGAATTGAAAAAAACAATCTAAATAATAATATATAATGGGTATTGGTCAAAGTAAAAACGATGAAAATAACAGTATGGAAGACATTAAGAATTTAAGAGTAGATGAAAAAACAAGAGCGGATACTTTAATAATTAAATCTATTCAAGAATGTGTGGCGCGAATAGAAAAATTAGAAAGTCAAAAATCGGACAAACTAATATATAAATTACCAAATTTACAGTTTTGCAACGCTTCATTAATTTAAATCAAAAACATTAAACAATAAATTTAATGTTATTGATTAGTTATTTTCAAATATTGTGAAAAGTTGTTCATAAACATTTTATCTGGGTTCTTTTCTAAAAGGTTAATATATAAAAAACTATGCGGTTCATCAGTGGCAGTCTCATATATTTTATAAATTAGTTTCTTGCTTTCATGTAAATTATCGCTTCTAACAATTGCTGATAATTCATCTTGCAATATTTCTATCTCTTTAAAATTTCTAACTTTATAATAAAACAAATGACTTATATTTACTCTAATAATTGGTGGCACGGTTGATGATTTTTGAAGACTGACAAGCGTTGATATTCCACTATGACGTCCCCTACAGAATAAAGAATTTAACAATTTGTTATTTCTTGTTATTGCTGGATTATCAGATACATCATCCAAAATTACCAAAATATTAAATAATTTCTTCGTTCCTTGTTTTTTCTGGTATTCAATTATTTTATTTTGAGTTTCTATAACTCTTTCTAAATCTTCAACATTGAACTCATCCCACCAACACGGTTCTTTATCATTATCTACTTTCAAACCTTCTTTAATGTATTTTTTAACAGGCAACCAAATGCTATCCAAATTTACAGATGGGGACCAGATAAAAATTCTTTCATATGCTCCTCTATAAATATCAAGTATCATTGATACAAGTAGCGTGCTCTTTCCAGAGCCTGACGGCCCTACAATCATAGCTCTCATCGGCAATTTAGGGACGACCTCGTGCTTGCTTTGCTTAAAGTCATATTTGATTTCGTCAATTGGTTTTACATCAGGCATAATAAAATAATATTAAAGATATTTAGAAAATTATTTATAATTAATATTAAATGGAACATCGTTATGTTATGAGTGGCGGTAAATAACATAATGGAACAGGTTTTCCATTGCTTCAATCAATAAGCATTGAAGATAATTAGTTTTGTGTATTGCTCGCGTGTGCAATGAAAACCCAAGTGCTGTGCCCCACCAATATTCTATTATGCATGAAAATAATAAGATCAATTAGAATAATTTATCTTATTATTTATATGGATAGAAGTTATTCAGATTATATTGATATAATAGATGAAGTAGAGAATATAGAACAAGTAATAATAACTGACAACAGATGTAAGAAAGTATGCTTTTATACATTAGAATTAATAAAATTAGGAATGCAATATATCAAAAATAAAAATGTAAATATTAATATAAATGCCAAGAAAGAAAAAGAGTAAAAGCAAAGAAAGACCAATGCCAGATATTGAAGCTCGGAAAAAAACAACGGAAAGTGTTAAATCAAAGGGTGAAAGTAAAGCTGTAAAATGCGATAAATGTAATCATGTTATGAATTTTAAGAATGAATTGACGGTAGATAAAAAAGATGGTGTTAAGGTTAGTTGTGTCCCATGTATGTTTTCTTTTAAAAAAAACAGACAAATATTTTAATATTCAGAAAAAATCAGGAGGCGATATGGTTATTGAAACTAACGAACATTTGATTAATGTTAGTTTCAACAGGGACATAAGTTAGTATTTAAAGAGTAGATTTTACATTAAATCAATTTTATAAATAAATAAGTAAATAAATAATATCTAATTATTTGTATAATCATAATGCCAACTATGAATAGAGAAGACCATAGAGTTATAACTTTTGACGATGAAGAAATTAAAGACCTATTCAATGGTGATGAAAACTTTGCTAAACAATTGAGCGAAGAATATTTTTATTGGTTTGATGCTAAATTCAATGATAAATATTTTATGAAAGGTATAACTAAACCGGATAAATTTGATAAAATATTGAACTTTTTTGAAATTACAGGTGACGAGGAAGGTTTAATAAAAATGAACAATAAAATTGGTGAAAGACTGTTAGAATATAATTTATTTACATATATAACATTAGATTATTCAGGTAAACTGTATAATAAAACGCATAAATAAATATTTAAATAAATAATTATATAAATAAATATATATAGAAATGTCTGAAGTTGAGAATGATGCTATTACTGAACTATCAAAGAAAATAATGACAGTTAGTAAAAATGTTAAACTGTTGTACGAGATGATAAAAACTATTGACCAGAAACTTGATGCAAAGGCAAACGAACCAAAAGATAACAATGAAGAGAAGGAAAAGATTGACAAAATCTTTGAAAAGAAAGGGATAGGCAGACCCAGCGGTGATTATGACACGAAGCGTAAAAAATATTGTGATATGTTAAATAAGGGACAAATCAAAAGTCCAAAAGAACAAACATTAGAATACTATAAGATTATTAAGGAAGATGATAAATATGTATATTTCTAAAACATTATCTAAATCATTCTAATAAACAATATGAATTTATTAGAATTATTTTGTGGAACTGGAAGTGTAGGAACCATAGCAAAGTCATTAGGTTTTAATGTCATCTCATTAGACTTGAAAAATGCTGATATTAATTGTGATATTTTGGAATGGGATTATAAACAATTTGACAGAAACCATTTTGATTTTATTTGGAGCAGTCCCCCGTGCACTGAATATAGTGTAGCAAAAACTAGGGGAATTAGGAATATTGAATATGCTAATAGTATAGTTTTAAAAACTATTGAGATTATCAAATATTTTAATCCTAGATATTTGTAATCGAAAATCCTCAAACTGGATTATTAAAAAATCAGGAGTTTATGAATGAGTTTGAGTTTAAAGATGTTGATTATTGCAAATATGGATTTAATTACAGAAAACGCACTAGACTTTGGAATAACATTACGAATTGGACTCCTAGAGATTTATGTAATAGAGATTGTGGAAAAATAAGGAATACTAAACATATTGAAACTGCGCAACGACTGCCATCAAAAACTAAAGCAGAATGGGGAGATAATTATGTAATACATAAGCAGGAAGATTTATTCAAAATACCTGCTGAATTGATTTGTGAGATTTTGACGAGTTTGACGGACTAAGGAAACGAGTTTGGGGTTGGGATGGGGCATCCCCAAAAGCTGGGATGGGGCATCCCCAAACAATGAAATTTTGGGATGGGCATCCCCAAACAATGAAATTTTGGGATGGGGCATCCCCAAACAATGAAATTTTGGGATGGGGCATCCCCAAAAGCTGGGATGGGGCATCCCCAAAAGCTGGGATGGGGCATCCCCAAAAGCTGGGATGGGGCATCCCCAAAAGCTGGGATGGGGCATCCCCAAAAGCTGGGATGGGGCATCCCCAAAAGCTGGGATGGATGAAAAATGACAAGTTGATATTTATTTAACCCATAAACCTTACAATAAAAAACATTGTAAGATTTATGTTTTGAAATTATGGGGATTTTATATTTTGGGATTTTGGGAAAATATATTTTAGGGATTTGGGATTTTGGGATTTAGGTGGTAAAATTGGTTGAGGTGGCGTGCCCCTGTTGGTTAATATGGTTGAAGTGGTTGACTGAGGGGATTTTATCTGAACTGGGGCATGCCCTTTGGTAGGTTCTAGGGCCCCCCCGGTTAGTGCCCTTCTCTCCCCTTTTCTGGGGAGGGTTCCACCAAAATTCGCCGACAGGAAAAAAGGAAGCGGTACCCGAAATTCTAAGAAATTCTCTGCTGAAAAAGTTAGCCTATTCTAAGAAATTCCAAGAAAAGTTAGCCTACAAAAAAACACTCTCTACTGGAGCGCCTTCCCAGGCTGCCTTCTTCGCCTTGACCCTGCGCCGCGCCGGGTCCGGGTCCACGCCGCGGCGGGCCTTCGCGGCGGGACCGGCGACGGCTGAGGCGGCGGAAGCGGAAGCGGAAGCGGACGCCGAAGCGGCAGGCAGAGGGGGGGGATATGACTGGATTCACTGGATCCCTTCAGAGTTCTCCTAAGATTTCCCCTTTGGGTTGATTTACATCTCGGGGTGATGATGTTTAAAGAAAATATATAGGGAACCCTTTTTAGGTGGTTGCGTTTTGAGGGGCTCTCAAAGTTACTTGTAGGGGAGGTTTCCCTTCAAACCACCCTTTAGAGGGTAATTTCGAGGATATCACTTGTGGTTGGACCTAGACTGACAGATCAACATGGAATCCGACTCCTAAAAGCCATCGAGGAACTTTTTTGTGGAGGGATCTCCTTTTCGGGTTTCACGTTTCCAACTAAATGGAATCTGACAGGAGGGTGTTGGAAAATTTTCCTCTTGAAAAGGGCAGTACATGCTTGGAAGGAGGGTATTTGCCCAAACCAAATCAACATGTTCGCCGAGTGTTTTTTCTTTTAAGCAACCAGTGAGGTGGTTTGGATTGGTTTGGATTTGAGCCCCTGGTTCTTGAGTAAATGGATTTGAAACCCCTGCAAACCTCCAATTCGAGGGTAGCTGATTTGTTGAAGATTCCTGAAAGTTAAGGCCAGGTCCGCACAGTGAAAACCATTGGTTTCCGTACTTTTGGTGTTGTACTTGAGGAGTTTCTAGAGGTTCTCCCATCGTTCTTTGCTCTGGGTAAGATTTGCTTTGGGATTAGGTTCAGGAATAGCAGTGGGATTAGGTTTGAGATTCGGTTTGGGATATGGTCGGGTTTGGTCCTTTGTTTGCTTGGTGGGTGTTGAGGTTGCAGCTGAGTTTGATCTCGACCTGGCGTTTGCTTGACTGCGGCTTTTGGGCTGCTCTTTCTTCGTGGATATGAGTCAAAGCTAGAAATTCCTTTGGAGGGGCCTCCAAGATTGGCCTGTCGGATTGTCAACCAAAGATGTCGTATGAGAAGCTGGGAATTAGAGCTAGACGAGGCCGCTGACTAAAATCTTCAACGCTCCAGGTCGGCGCGCTTTGGTTCTGAAACGTTTCAGGAGTTGTTTAATTCAGGAGTTGTTTGGTTGGAAGCTGCCCACTAAAATATTCGCACGTTTCAGGCGAGTTGTTTGGTTCTTTGGTTCTGTTCCCTTTTCGCCAGAGAAAGGGGTTCAACCTCAACAGGGCTCCTTAAAAAATACATTTTGCAACCATTTGAAACATGGTTTTTTCCACCAAAATAAAGTTGGAAACCACCATTTACAGGTTGCAATGTTCAGGTGTATAATGCATCCGGATCCCTGCTCAAGATGAACCCCAAAAACTCCCCGAGCCCTAAAATTTCTTTGGTTGGTCTCTGCCCAAGTGCGGGGTTAGCAGCGTAGGGTTCAAACGCCGGGTTTCAGCATAGTGTGGCTTTTTTGAGGCTACCCCTTTTTTGGTGGTGAAGGGAAATATAAAGAAAATCACCATTTTGGCAGGTCCCCTCAAACAAGACACCCATATTGTCTTTTTGTGGGTCCACTTAGAAAGGACAGCATCAAATCAAACTAAGTCCAAGACCCGCGCTGTCTTGTGGGGGGGTGGTGTTTTCTTCTGGTGTCGCTTTCTCAGGTAAGCCTTAGTTGATGGTTTGGATTGGTGGTTTGGATTTGGATCTGAAACCACCCCAATCCAAGCCACCTACCTCCATCAGTAGAGGGAACTTGGTAGCTGGTTTCTGGTTGCCTGCTTGATTTATTGCTTGCTTTCTTGCTTGCTTTCATGCTTGCCTGCCTGCCTGCCTGCCTGCCTGCTTGCTTGGCTTGCTTGATTAGTTGGTTAGTTGGTTAGTTCATTGGTCAACCAACCAAACAACCAACGATGCCCTTTTCTCGCATAGAAATCCACTGGGCATCTGAGTTCGTCTTTCTGCTTAGGTTCCTGGTTACTTGCTTGCTTGGTTGCGCCGACTTTCAGGGCAGGGCCTGCTGCTGGTGGTGGGCTGCTCGCCGGACTTGGCGGAGCTCTGCGTGCCCCAGCGCCGCTTTCGCCGGGTCCTGCGGGCGCCACCCCTGCGGAGCCCACAGGAAAATCCCGGGAGCGAGGGGGCGGAGGAAGAATTCGGGGTGGCTGGCTGGCTGGCTGGCTGGGTGGGGTGGGTGGGGTGGCTGGGGTGGGTGGGGTGGGTGGGGTGGCTGGCTGGCTGGGTGGGTGGCTGGCTGGCTGGGTGGGGTGGGTGTGGGTGGGGTGGCTGGCTGGCTGGCTGCGTGGGTGGGGTGGGTGGGGTGGCTGGCTGCGTGGGTGGGGTGGGTGGGGTGGCTGGGGTGGGTGGGGTGGCTGGGGTGGGTGTGGCTGGGTGGGTGACTGGGTGGGTGACTGGGTGGGTGACTGGGTGGGTGGCTGGGTGGGGTGGGTGGGGTGGCTGGCTGGCTGGGTGGGTGGCTGGCTGGCTGGGTGGGGGGTGGGTGGGTGGGGTGGCTGGCTGGCTGGCTGCGTGGGTGGGGTGGGTGGGGTGGCTGGCTGCGTGGGTGGGGTGGGTGGGGTGGCTGGGGTGGGTGGGGTGGGTGGTGGCTGGGGGGTGGGTGGGGTGGCTGGCTGGCTGGGGGTGGGTGGGTGGGGTGGGTGGGGTGGCTGGGGTGGGTGGGGTGGCTGGCTGGCTGGGTGGGTGACTGGGTGGGTGACTGGGTGGGTGGTGGGTGCTGCTGGCTGGGTGGGTGGGGTGGGTGGGGTGGCTGGGGTGGGTGAGGTGGGTGGGGTGGCTGGCTGGCTGGGTGGGTGACTGGGTGTGACTGGTGGGGTGGGTGGGGTGGGTGGGGTGGGTGGGGTGGCTGGCTGGCTGGGTGGGTGGGGTGGCTGGGGTGGGTGGGGTGGCTGGCTGGCTGGGTGGGTGACTGGGTGGGTGGCTGGGTGGGGTGGGTGGGGTGGGGTGGGTGGGATAACTGGCTGGCTGGGTGGGTGGGGTGGGTGGGGTGGCTGGGGTGGGTGGGGTGGCTGGCTGGCTGGGTGGGTGACTGGGTGGGTGACTGGGTGGGTGGCTGAGTGGGGTGGGTGGGGTGGGTGGGGTGGGTGGGGTGGCTGGCTGGCTGGGTGGGTGGGGTGGGTGGGGTGGCTGGGGTGGGTGGGGTGGCTGGCTGGCTGGGTGGGTGACTACGTGGGTGACTGGGTGGGTGGCTGGGTGGGGTGGGTGGGGTGGGTGGGGTGGGTGGGGTGGCTGGCTGGCTGGGTGGGTGGGGTGGGTGGGGTGGGTGGGGTGGCTGGGGTGGGTGGGGTGGCTGGCTGGCTGGGTGGGTGACTGGGTGGGTGACTGGGTGGGTGGCTGGGTGGGGTGGGTGAGGTGGGTGGAGGGAGGGTACCTTCCATTTCCATTCTTTCCAGACGTCCTTCTTTCTGAAAAGCCTCCAGCCCTGGGGAAGCAACCGGCTTTTGAAAAGAACAATGGTTGAAAATAATGGACAAGGAATCAACCCCTAGAACTCCCCCTCGTCTCCGCAAAAGAACGATGTACCCCCAACTGGGAAAAGCTTGACTGACTCCAGTGGCCAACTCCGAATGAAACCCGGCCAAAGGCTAACATACACGACTTGTCGGGTGGAATTTGGATTATTTTTGTTTGCTTTAGGTCTGTCTCTGTGTGTTTTAGAATTTTGTCCCATGGGAATCTATCACTACTGGCAAAATATGTTTATTCCAGGGGCGTATCCGCAAATGGAAGCTGAGGGGCCCCGTTTTGTTGATCCCGTGAGGAGGTGGAGGACTTGATGGCTCTGGCGCACGCCGAGCATCCGGAGCTGGAGATCCAAGGCCTGCTGCACGGAGGCGCGAGGAGCTCTCGCTCGAGTCGCTCGCGTGGGTGGATCGCTGAGGTTCGGAGCGGTTTTCTGGAAGCGAGGTCACCCAGCTAGGTGCCCGTTTTTTTTTAAAACCCTTTTTTGGGTGGGAGGATTCCCCTACTAAAATAGACTACAGAGAAAAGTTGGATTGATTTTTGGGGGGTGTTTCCCCTTTTGGGTGTGGGGAGGGAGGTTCAACCCACTGGAGGCTTGTTAAGCCACTGCGGTTTGGAGGTCTTGAAGGGACCCATTCTGGAGAAGCCCAGGGATACCCTGCTAATAAGCTGTGGTTGATTCATTTTGGTTTTAGGGGACTTGCAACCATGCGAAGTGGGTTACAACCAGGCTTACAAACCACTTAGCTAACTCCCAGACCATCTAAGTACCCCAGGTCACCCAGCTAGGTGCCCTTTCTCACCCAACTTCCTTGGTTGGGAGGGTTTCCCTACTAAAATAGACTACAGGAAAGAGTTGGTACCCTTATTCTAGCCTCTCGACCTAGGAAGGGACCCAGTTGAATTTGGTGGTTCAAAGTCAACTTGTACTTAGATGGTCTGGGAGTTAGCTAAGCGGTTAATAACCCTGTTTGCAACCCACTTAGCATGGCTGTAGGTCCCTTTAGCCAGTGTTACTAGCCACTTGGCTCACTCCAAGACCATCTAAGTAGGGCTTCATCTATCCCAGGTGCTGCTTGGATCGTTTCTTGTGGGTAAATTGGAACCCACCCCGGAACACCACACCGCTCCAAACCACCCAAAAGCGGGGGAAGCTGATTGAAGGGACTGAAATTGATGGAGAAGATCCGCTGAAACCACCAGTTGGGATTCAACTCATTTCTTCCCCAGAATTGGTTCCCCTTTTGATTTTTATTTGTTTGGGGGCTCCTTTTTGTTTTTTTACTAGCCAGGCAAAAACATGTTTTTTTGCTGGGGGCTGGGGTCCCAATTTCAGCCAAGATTTCTAGGATTTCGTCATTCCGAAGTGCTGGATTTCGTCCAGCACAGAGCCGCGGAGCTGAAAGTATTTATCCAATTTGCCGCCAACTGGTTACGGACCTGGTGGCTTACGTCAGCTTCCATTGGCAGGGTACCTGGGAATGAACCGCCCCCTTTAATGACGCTACAAGTTGGATGGTTCAGTTCGGAGTCAACTCATTCCCGGCCATCTGGCAACCAGGTTTGGAGCTTTGGAGGCTTTCCAAGCAGCCAGTCCTGGCGAGAGTGCGGAAAGTTGGTGCCCAATTGAGCCTACCCCCCGTTCATTCGTTTTGGTCTTGCTCACCTGCGTGAAACGAGCTGAGGTAGAGATCAAACCTTTTTCGGGTTCCTTTTTTTTGGTTACCCAAGGACTTAAACCCAGTTCCCCTTTTGAGGACAACCACCCCTGTGTTTCAGTCTCCTTGGAGCAATCAAATAGTGGAACCCTGATTGCAAGAAAATGCATATATAGTGAGAGTGTGGTCAACTACAGTGGGGGTGGGGAGGTGGCACAAGCGGTGGACAAGTGACTGATATGTTTGTTTTGGTTCTTTTCTTTTTTCCGGGGAGAACATAAAAAGACTACCAGATTTCCCCGAGCTATGATCATGTAGGGGTGTCTCCACATGGTGTGCTGTCAACTTACACACAGCCCATGAACTCTACTGTGGATGGACAAAATCCTGCACCACCCAAGAAACCCTGGAATGATTCCCCTGTACATACCAACAAATCATGGTTTCCCATGGTTTCAAGCTGCGAACGGATTTCGCAACCACAGTATGGGTTCAACATCAACCTATCGCAGCCGAGCTTTTCTCTGGCCCCGCCATTCACACCTGACTCCCCGTCCAGGGCCTTCCGCTTCCTCGAGCTCCTCCTCACTGACCTCCCCCGGTGCGGCGGAGGCGCTGGACGCGGCCCGGCGGAAAAGCGGAGCGGAGAAGCGGTGGTCCAAACTGGGATCCCAGTTGGCGGATCCAAGCCAATGGGTCCAAACTTGGGTTGTGGTTGATCACTCGGGGGTTCTCCAACCGCTTCTGTGATACTTTTGGGAATCCTTTGTATGAAGAAAATAGTCTTTGGGGTTAGGCCCTTTCTGTTGTATCACAGAAGTGGTCATTCCCCACAGCCCTGGTCCAAACCAATAGAAGCGGTCGGAACCCAGATGGGTACAAAGGTTTATAAGGATATGTGGCTATGGGTCAAAACCGATGGTACGTACCGTTTTGGTTAATAAATGCACCACCCGTTTTAGAACCTATTTTAGTGGTTAGATTGGTTGATGCTCGCTGGGGGTACGACTTGGATTTTGACCCATGGCCCGGTGAGTCGGCGATTGTGTTGTTGTGGTTGAACCATGTTGCATAGAAGCCAGCTACCATTTTGGGGTTGTACTCGTTGCATAGAAGCCAGCTACCATGTTGCATAGAAGCCACAAATCGTGTTTGTTCGTGTCTTTTTTATTCCATTTGCCAGGCCGAGAGCCAGCTCGGAGTTGCTCAATATTATGTCCGGCCTTTAAATGATGGCTAACTTGTCCCATGTCAGAAATATATCATATTTTTAGTAGTTTACCCCAATTGTCATCCCGTGCAAAGACCCTTTGCGGGGGGGGGGGGGTGGCCCATCCAAATATTGTATTTTTGATTGAGTCTTTGCTTGGCGCACATGTGGGGTACACAAAAAACACAGTTTCAGATTCTGGATCATATTTGCTCTGCCTCAAGAATACCAGATCATTTTCGAGGAGTCCCAGATGAACTTGATGTTCCGGGGTATTTTTCGGTGGCTTCTGTTCGTGAGGTGTGACCCCATTGCAGAGAATGATTCCTGTTGAGGGTATGTTTGGATGAATGGTTAATCGGAAACACTGAGCGTTTCCTAATGAAGGGGCTCCAGCTTGCACCAAATGCAGTATTTGTTAGGCACTCTTTTAATATGTGAGAACCCATTCAAACGGTCGCCCCAAAAGGGCGGTGAAGACCTGTAAGAGATGAAGCAATTGACCATCGCTTTCGTTGGCTCATGGACCGGAAAGCAAGGCGAACTGGGGACCGGGGGGGGGGGGGTGGTAACTCCCTGAACCCCTTACCCTCCCACCAGCGAACATGGTTGGGTGCACAGACCCCTGTAGAAAGACGACTTTCCTCTTGGAAAGGGCCTTTTTGCACTTCCATGTTAGTTGGAGGGTAAGGCCTGAAGTGCTTATCAACTTGGCTTATCCTGCGCTTATCCAGAGATAGGCCCCCCCATAGCCCCCATAGCCTCCATAGCCCCCAGGGGCTCCCATAGCCCCCATAGCCCCCACAGCCCCCATAGCCCCCATAGACCCCATAGACCCCATAGACCCTATAGACCCCATAGCCCTAGGGGTCCATGATTGGTAAACTTGATCACCCAAAATCTGGGTGCTTTTGGTCCCCCAAAGGCGTGCCTCTTCTTCGTCTTTTTTGTTTTTTTTTGGGGGGGGGTCCCCGCAATGTGGTTTCCTTTCAACACCAAGTTAGAAAAAGACACACTCAGAAGGGGGCTTGTTCAAAGTAGTGGACCCAGCTCATGCTTAGTTTGTTTTTGCCTTAAAACCAACCCCCAAAAACGTACCCCTCAAAAAGACCTACGCCTGTGCCCGAGAAATCCCCAGCCGGAACCTCCTGAAACTGCTGGTTGATCCCTTCAAAAACGGGGGAAACAAAGATGGTGGGTTTTCCTTTTGGTTTCCTTTGAAGCTTTGAAGGAGTACACACTGTTGAACCCTTCTTGAAAGCTGCTTCAAAGAATCGCTCGGGCAGAGACCCCACAGCTTCCAGCTGAACAAAAAGGGGCCTGGGTCAAAATTAAACCAGGATCTGGACCGCCGGTTTTGGTCCATTCCACGGGCAAGCCATTTCGGATCCGTTTTGACTCCCCAGCCAAAAGAGCCTCGGAGCCCCGGCCTCGAGGCCAGCCTGCGTTCGCTGGCGCTGCTGGCGCCGGTCCTAGAGAAATTGCCCCACGCGCGGCTGGTGAGCTGGCGCGGGACTCGCCCTCGCCGAATGGAATCGATGGCGATCGGGGCAAGGGAACCTACTCAGATGGTTTTGGACGAATCGCTAAACGGTCAGTAACCCTAGGCTGGCTATAGGGGACTTACAACCAGGCTTACAAACCACTTAGCCAACTCCCAGACCATCTAAGTACCCTAGGTCCCCCAGCTACGTGCCCTTTCTCTACCAACTTGTTTGGGGGGCAGGGTTCCTCTACTAAAATAGACTACAGAAAAAGTTGGTACCCTTATTCTAACCTCTCTACTGGAGGACCTAGCACCACCAATGGAAACAAAGATGAGCCAGATATGCCTTGTTTTATTCTTACTCGAAAACAAACATAAACCGAGTTTAGCCCATCGTGGCGATTGTGGCTTGTTGTATAATTATTATTAGTATTATTAGTATTATTAGTATTATTAGTATTATTATTATTATTATTATTATTATTATTATTATTATTATTGTTATTATTATTATTATTATTATTATTAGTAGTAGTAGTAGTAGTAGTAGTAGTAGTAGTAGTAGTAGTAGTATTGCTATTATTATTATGATTATGATTATGATTATTATTATTATTATTATTATTATTATTATTGTTATTGTTCTTATTATTATTATGTCCCGTGTTCAGGTGATTTCGAAGGACGCTGATTCGGCCAAACTTCAGAGGGCAAAGAACCTCCATGGTCAAATGGAGGCAACATGGGTGTGGGTCAAAATTAAACCAACAGGGGACCGCAGATTTTGGACCATGTTTCCACTTACAGGGCAACCCATATTGGGTACCTATTTTTGACCCACAGCCACATTAATACCATGGGGATGCGGTCGCTGGTGTAGATGAACAAGTCATTTTTAGTTTTCGTAGCACTTGCGATGGAACCAAAAGTTGCGCGACGGATCCGGTTCCCGGAGGTATCGGAGAGGTGGAAGGGCAACTCCTGCCCGAGCGTAGCTTGCTTTTTGCGTAACGGCGGCCTTCCAACTTTTTTGCCGAACGGGATTGTTCTTGTGCGGCTACGGGGAAAATCCCGGCATTGCCATACAAACGGCTTGCCGTTTTTGTAGCTGTCCTTTTTGATGTTCCTTCGTTGCCCCTTTCAACGAGCAAAGCGTTTTTGTGGAAGGTCTGGCCCAGAAACAAACACTCCAAACTGGCTACACATGGCTCATCGTCAGGATGTTTTTGGTTCTTAGAGCTCTGCCATTGTTAGGCTGAGGTCAATGGAACACGACATAGATCGCACGGCCAGCTGACGGGCCGAACTAGGTCCATGAGTGCTCAAAAAGCAAGACAGAGGTCTAATCCAAGCCTCGCTGAAGGATGGGGTGGATCTGTTTCTGCGTTTCTCCATGTTCCCTCCCTAAGCATAGCTCTTTTCATTGTTGGCCCGCCTAAGGGGCTTCAGGGCTCATGCGATCCGCCTTTCCTTTGATCCCTGAGTGCCTGCCGCCGAAAACAGCAAGGGGAGTTCTGCTGAAAGCCTCGGTGGAATCTTCCCTTCGGCCAAGGATCTTGAAACTTGCTGGCGCTCAGGAAGGAATGAGTTGGAATGACCCCGAGATCAACCAGCCCCCTTGGTTTCCTTAAAGGCGACCCCCAGGTTCATTCCCTCATTCCCTAGCGACGTGTCGATCCGGCTTTCGGTTGGTTTTTTTCGTGAGGAATAGAAGTGATTTTCATTTCAATACTCAATCTTGGCTTGGTGGTTCCCTGCCATCGCCTTCGGTTGTTTTCAGCTTTTCAGGGTTTTGTGCACTAAGCCACTACAAGCCCAAGTTAGACTCTTAGGGGATCTGGGAACAGCCCAATTGAGCTTACAAAGTGCTTCCAGGCACCACTGTAGTATGCACCACTATAGGTGTTTTCAGCTTTTTAGGGTTTAGTGGTAGTTGAACGACTACAAGTTACCACTCTTAGCAGGGGATCAGGGAACAGCCTGCTTCCAGGTACCACTTCCAGAAGGCAACCAGGGGAAGCCATCAAACCTGGAGGTAAGAAGCCCTGGATACCTGAGTCTTAAGCCAGGGGGTTCACCGATCGAGAGGCAGCCAAAAGGAAACCGTTTTTTTCTTTTTTTGGCGATCCCATCTATTTTGAGACACACCCATTTTGACCTGAAACCCTCTGAAATGCTGTTGTTGTTTGAGGCAGGTGCTTTCAAATACTGAGTCTGAAGCTCAACCACTCCGGACGGGACCATGGAGCCTAATTCTGTCGGGTTCCATATGGGTATGGGTCAAAATTAAACCACCCGGAATCGGACCGCTGGTTTTAGTCCATTCCATTTACCCGGGCAAGCCATTTTGGAAACGGTTACCCTATTTTTGACCACCACAGCCATGTGTTCACAGGGCATCTTGCGATAGGTAGGGAATGAGAAATGGAAAGAACCTTGCGATTCTCTTCACCTATTTTTGCCCCACCGCCAGAGTTGGGGTGGCTCCAACTTAGCGGGAGCCATGGCAAAAATTCCTCCGCGAGGTCCTCGGACCTGGGCTTCGCCAGCCCCGCCAGCTGGGCGCCGCAGGGCGCCGGCATGGCCGCGCTGGCCGGGAACGCAACGAAACGGCTCGACGGCCGCTTTTTTTTTCCGGTTCGGCTTTTCGTTTGTTTTTTTGTTCTTTTCTTTTTTTGTCCGGTGACCATAGGCGAGTTCCACGGGTTTTCTGGGGGAAGGGGGGGAGTTCTGGGGGTTTTGTGCTGGGATCATCCATTTCGCCAGTTTAGGCCACCTATGAACCTGACCGGGTGGACGACAACTTGTCTCTGGACCTGGTAAGCAGAGATGCCCCTGTAGTCCTTTTTTGGGGTAACCCCCTTTGGGTGTCAAAGGGAAAGAAGCCAAACTCGAGGGTCCATGACCCTTGCAGGAAGCCATGATAATGTTGACCCCGGGTTAATAAACCCCTCCCACTATTAGGCGGGTGTTCCCTCCAAAAGTGATGAATCCCCACTAAAAGGGGACACCCCCCTATTAATCAACCAGGGGTTTATTAATCCGGGGTTAACATTATGTCCATGTGCACATGGAAAAAGTGGCCCATGGTTGAAATGAAGGCTGAACGGAAGACTGCAGATCCCCCACTCAGAAAAAGAAATCAAGTGCTCCCGGCCCCCCAGACAGGCCGCCCCTCCGTGAGCCACGGGAGCCACTGCCCGATTTTTTCCCGTAAGGTGTTCCTTGCCCATCCGGAATTCTCCCTGGCAAGTGTGTCTCAAAGTTCGGACATCAACCATCTCAAATCTTCCTCTAGACCAAGATTGGCTGTTCTGTACTTTGATCCATTCGAATGACTTCCCATCAAGGGGGAGGAAGCAGATAGCACAACCTCCCCATTCAGGCCGGTGGTTCTTGAAGATCCAGCCAGAAGGGGGTCCACCAATTTCGAGAAGCTCCATTTTCCGGATTTCCCCAAGAGGCTCCCCTGAAACCTCCAAAACGGCCGTCCAATCCGAGCGTCGAGGCTTGTAACTTCATGGAGCAGTACATCCAGGCGAGGTCCCTGTGCACTCGAGGGGCCAATTCTGACTGCTGGGTTGGAGTTTGAGACCTTGACATTTTTTTGGGGACATCAAGGGGTTTTCCACTAAGCCCACAAGAGTGTTTATGTGTTTTTTTTTTGCAGAGGGGTCAACAGAAGCCAAGCATTGAAAGGCCAATTGCATAGTTGTTTTGTTGATTACACCCATTCCGCTGGCACATGACTTTCCACTTCGAAGTCACCCCGCTAAGTGGTGGGTTAAAGGGACGCCTCCCCAGTGTCTGCCTCTGATAACCCCTAGACTAGCCAAACTCATGATCCCAGTTCCAAGCATGGAAGTAGACCATGTCAGGTTCTGGAGACTACAATCTGGCAAAGGCCCCAAATGTCCACTCCTTGGTGGAAAACGGCTCATCGCTTTCGCGGTTTGCCCTTGGTTCATGGTTTAGACACCGTACGACACACGGATCCAGGCGTCCAATGCAAGCCTTGCTTGGATCGATCGTCAGCATTCGCATTGCAGCCATGCGGCACTTAAGAAGGTCGTGTGTGGCTCTCTAACACATAATGTTGGACCTCCTTTATTAAAAGTACTCGCTATTGTAGATTTTGTTTTTCCTAATTCAGAATCCTGTGACTGTTTTAGGGGTTCGCTATTGTGGCAAGTGTTTTTTGTCCCCCCAGGAAAAAATACAAACATAGCTTTTTTCTTCGCTTTCTGGATTTGCTCGGGCTCAGGCTAAACTTGCTAAGCCTTGGTAGCTCCTGTTGAGCTGGAGGCTGGTTCTGAGCTAGAATTGGGAATTTGTTTTCTTGAAGTGGCTCCCAAACCATCAAATTTAAGATAACTTCTTTACAAAAAAGTGCGGGCAAACAATCACACAAAGGGGGGTGCCCACAAGAGGCCCAAATCCTCTTTAATGCGATTGTTTTGGGGTCCTCTTTAGTGTCCAGTGGTTTCGGGGTTGCTGAAAACTGAAAACCAAAGCCTCAGCCTTTTACTTTTAAAGAAGGGGACTCATCCTAAGCTCTCCCCAGCTCAAAGGTTAAAGGCCTGAAATCTAGGAAATCGATTTTGCAAGTTGTTCCCAAACCATCAAATTTAAGATAACTTCTTTACAAAAAAGTGCGGGCAAACGGTCACACAAAGGGGGGCCCACAAGAGGCCCAGATCCTCTTTAATGCGACTGTTTTGGGGTCCTCTTTAGTGTCCAACTGGTTTCGGGGGTTGCTGAAAAAACGACCCTTGGCAATACTAAAGTAAGTACTGCCCCTCCCACACCCCCAGGATCTCCCTAAAGAGAGTCCCGCCGACTGGTTCCACTGTTCCAGGGGGGGGGGGGTCACACTAAACAGAGTCCAACACTACTATAAGAGCCTCCAAAAAAGCATGGGGGGGGGGTTCTGGGTACCATCAACAACATATCACCTCATGTACATGGGAGAACACTGTGTGTGTTTTTATCGCCCCATGTATTCTGTCCCTTGCTTTGTGGGCGCAAATCTTTGCAGGCCTTGGCGCACCAAATGCGGAAGTCTGGGGTCACCGTCTATGGCATGCGCTTCACTGAGGAGGCCGTGAGGCTTGACGGACGGACAGCCGGTTCGTTGTAGCTCAGGGTCCCTACAATAAACAATGGTTCCAGTGCAAGGCAATGTTTTGACTTCTTGATTTTTCAGTTGTCATTTGTTTTGGGTCATTCCAAAAGGGCCATAGACCTGCGGCCTGGGGTCCCGATCGGGCGAACCGCCCGTGGTCTTCGAGGGGGCTCGTTTTTGTGAACAAGGGGAGCATCCCCCGTGAGACAAAACCAGAGAGTTCAAGGCGGTTCGATGATCCCAATCAGTGGAAGTATTGTTGCAATTTTGAAAGGGCCCTAGTTTTGCAACCCAGCAGGCCATATAAAAAGACATAGGCTTTCTATCTGACTATCAGTCGGATGCTTTGTCCAAACTAAAGGGTTTTAGATTCCGCTTTGCTGTCCAGCCCCTCGATTGAGATGGATTTGTGTACGAAGTCTTGGTGGCTCAAAGCTTCCAAGTCTATGGCTGAGCTCAAGCCATCTCAAATTGGGCCAGAGATTGCCCTCTGCGAAACACGCACTGTTCCTTTGGAGTAAGTACCGGCAGTTACAAGGCTTGATTTGTCCAGGCCCTAGAACCATCTCCCCCTGCGGGGCAAAAGAAAACGACAAGATGGCTAAACATGTTGACAAGGGGATCGATATATATATATATATATATTCGCTGTTGTTAGTATTCGTCCAGTTTGTTTTGGACTCCGTCCAGTTCTAGCAGGGTGGGTCTGCAAAGAGCATCCACCTTGCTGGCAAAAACCGTAACTCCCTCGACCCCTTTGTTTTATCCGCCGCCTAGAGCTAAAATTCATGAGACAACTGTTGAAAGCTGAAGTAGGCGTACCTTGTTTTAGCTTGGACCCCTCCAAAATGGCTTCGGTTTGCCTTGTTAGTCTCCCTTTAAAGCCGCCCAAAAGCTTTAAAGCCACCGAACAGGGGTACGATCACCTCAAACAAAAAGCACGAGCTACCCAAAAACCAAGGGTATGCTTGAGACACATATCGATTGAAGACCATGGGGCTCTCACATGGTTGATCAACACCTCCATTCAGGGCCCCCAGTGTTGACCATGGGCAACTGTTCACCCCAAGTAAAGGAACCCGGTCAAAATGACCATGGCATCTGGGCGTGATCTTTAACTGGGGACTCTTTGATGGTGGGCATTTCGGGTAGCTTTTCCCATGGGTCACTGTTCCTATGTTGGACATATCGAATCCTTTTCGTGGTTTTCCAACGGATGGTCATCCCATGCAACCATTTGAAACATGTTGCTTTTTCAACACCAAAATAAAGGGACACCATTTACAGGGCAATGTTCAGGTGTATAATGTAAGGATCCCTGTTTTACCCGGTTCATTTCAAGGGGAACTTATCACTACTGGACGTATGTTCTAATTTATCAGAGAATGTATTCGCAAATGGAGCTCGGGTGGTCTCTCTTCACCACCTTGGGCGAAGCTGAAATGACAGCTTCTTTTGATTTGGTGTTTGCTTAGGACATTTGGAACCTTAACCCACCCGAGGAAAACCAGGGAGAGGTACTGGGTCCGTTGAGCATTTCGAAGGCTCCTTTAAAACTACTTGTGGGGGTGGTGGTTTCGTTTGTCCACGACTTACAGGGTGTGTTTGAGGCTATTTGAGGTACTACTGTAATTTGCCGGACGTATACTTGTCGAAGGACATTTTGATGATGTCACCCTAGGGTTCAATCCCCAGTAAAGAATGGCAAGGACCAGTTTGGATCGTCAACAATTGTGGTGAAACATGAACCCAGCCCTTGTTTTAATGGTGGCCTGCCTGAACCCCAGGATTCACTTTGAATGGCCAGGATCTCTCTGGATTCCGACCAAAACGCCCGTCATCAGCTGGACGCTGAGCTGCAAAGCCTCCTTGAAGCCAAAGAAAAAGCGCCAATCCAAGGCCACTTGGAGTGGGGGGGGGGGGGGGGTTCTGGTGTTCCTACTGGGATCATGTTTTTCGGGGTGATTGGTTAAGATTATCTTAGTTGTTCTGTAACTTGTCAAAGTCAACTGGGGTTGTTTCTCTTGAACCTAGCACTTAGGGGGGATGCCGTTGTCTATGTTGAAATAATGAGGCCAATTCTATTGATGTGCTCTTGTTCAGCGCCACACATAGGGCCATGCTGCCAGGGTTTTCTACGAACAATGGCTTCAGATCGACCAGGCGCTTAGGCCCAAATTCCAGGATTCGAAAGAAGCGTGGCGACGTAAACATCACCGTTTTCGGAGGTCGACAAGGGTCAACCGCCATTTCCAAGCTGTTGGAAAGCCGTCGGCTTCATGTGCGGATTGTGTAGAGCAGCGACGAATGGGACCCCCCAGCGTTCGGTTTCCTGAATACAGTGTTCCCATTGGGTGCGCCTTTTTGGAGCGAAAATCGGGGAATCCAAAGGAAGACCACGATCTTTTTTGGGGGGTCCCCTATTTAGAGTCTAGAGATAAACCAGATTACAATCAAACAAGGTCTGGGAAATTGTGAAATGGGCACTTGTCAAGGGACCCTTACTCCTTTGACCATACCCCCTTCGTAAAGACAACACAGGTTGAATGGGGCGTGTCCCAGTCAAGGGGGTGTCTTTTCACATTTGTCGGACTCCCTAATAATCCGTCAGATTGATTCCATACTTGGTCGACATTGTACAAGTGCTGGAGGGCCTTGTTCTGAAACCATTGTGCCATCGCGGTTCCCAGTGACAATACCCAGATCTTTCCACGTTGTCTTGCCTAAATTCCCGCAAAATCCAGGGAGAGAGTCCAACATTTTCCGGGAATCGGACAATTTTGTCCGCTCATGTTTCTCCAAGGAGAAGGAGATCCAGGCGGGGGCTTGAGTTGCTGATACCTTCGACCCTTCAAGAGCCTTGAGTCGATTACTTGCTGAGCATATGTGGTTCAGTCAAAGCACGATTATGCTTCATTCTCCCCTGTTAATTTTAAAGGAAATCTACTTGAACTATTTGTGTTTTTTTCAGGGGACTCAAGCAAATACAGGAACATGTCCAGATTTGCCTACGGTCCACTTGGGGTTCGGGACATGGGAGACGAGCTCCAGCCACAAAAACAAGGCAACCCTCGTGCGGAAGAAGACATTTTGACGGTACACCTCATTTGTCATCACTGAAATGGAAACCACAAGGAGCAGCGAACACCCCGATCTGCCTAAACGGAGGCTCTACTACCTTGGTTTGATGGGGATTATGGTTGAAGCTCTATAAATCTCTTACCATGGGTAGCACAAACAAGTCAACAGGTGTTGGCCGCTGATCAAGTGAGTTTATGCTTAAACGCTGGTTTGGCAAACCAAGAAACCGGCTTATCGAGTTGTCATTTTAGCCCTGGGTGTTGGTCTGGTATTTGTCCAAGTTTTGCAGATGAATTTGTCCCGCAGGTGTCTGAATCGAGACCGGTCACTCATAGGGCTCTGGGGATGGGCCGATTAAGCTTGGCTAGGCGGAGCTTTGTGGTGGTTTGCCTTTAACACAACCCCATGTTCAATTATATCTTCATTTTGGGCTTGGTCCTTTTTTCGGGACCCCCCCCAAACGAAAAACACACACACACACACAAGACTGCCAAAAAAAAAGAACGGTTTTTGAGAACACCCCCAGAGCGCCGCGCGGCGCGGCCCCATTCGCTGGCCCGGTCAGGAGGTCTGGTCCTTGCCTCGCCGCGAAGCCCATGGCCAGATCTTCGAAGTGGGCAGGCGCATGGAGTCGCGAGCCGCGCGTAGCGTCGGCTAAAACCCAACGGGTGGCCCGTGTTTCTTTTTTTTTAAAGGTTGGACTTGGGAGACTAGGAGGAGACTTGGGAACACTTGGGAGACTTGGAATTACTTGGAAGCACCGGGACACTTGGGAGTGGGCCGTGGTGTTGCTTTGGAGTCATCAGGGATGCCATGATCATTCAGACCGTAATTGTTTGAGCAGCCTCTCGTATGCATGTGGGCTTGATCAAGAGGTCCGTGATACATGGGATGACCATAGATGATTTGGGGGTCAGGTACCCTCCCACCAATCAACATGGAGCCTGACGTTCGGGGGTCCCTTTGAAAGGAGAATGGTCTTCCAGAACCCCTCTCAGGCTCCATGTTAATTGGTGGGAGGGTATATGAGCCACAATCAAAACCCGGGTAGATGCAGGCTAGTAAGGGACAATCCCAACCATAAATAGCTTCAGCCAGCCTTCTCAATTCTTGAAGCATGCTTCTGGGATTATGACAATTTTACTACCGGGGTTCTGATGATCTGACTCATGTGCGTGTCTTCTCTTTGGATGGAAACCGTACTCAGATCCATCATTGGAGCTTGCCCATGTTACAGAAACGAACAGTCATCCAAGAATCTGTGCCGAGATTATTTGTCTGATGTCTTCAGACATGAGTTTTCGTGAGTCGCCATTTCGACAATCAGTTTGCAATGAGGTTGCATTTCTTTGTTCTGAGGTCCGAAATTTTACGAGGGATCCCATTTGAAGAGCGGAATACCGGGCTCCTCAAAAGATCTCCATGTTGCAGCCCTTTGAAACATGTTGGCTTCTTCAACACCAACATAAAGTTGGACACCACCAGAAAACCAGCTGCAATGTTCGATCGGTGTATAACTTACCTCTTAAAAGCACCACTTTTCTCAACTTTTTGGGGGTAACATGGGCTGTATGTCTGTAAAAGATGAGAAAAAACCCCAGGGCGCAGGGAGTTTCAAGGGGTAAGAACTCATCTCCGGACCCCCCGGGAAATCCGCCGCGCCACGGACCTCGGAGCTCGGACTCCGGCAGGCCCTTGGTCAGCTTCAGCACCCAGAGCGCCCGGGGAGGCGGGCGGGAAGCGGGAGAGCGGGGAGCGGGACCCGGAGCGGGGTGGTGAAAAAAAGCGGTTGCTGAAGGAGAGGATTCCCTTCCTGCAGACCCGGAGGCGGGGGTTCTAGTGTCTCACAGTGGCACGCACAAAGTAGTTGCATTCTACAACAGGGTTGTGGGGTCACTCGGGGGTTTCTCCAACCACTTCTGTGCTACTTTTGGGAATCCTCCTTTCAGATGAACGGTTTAGGCTTTGGGAAGCCCTGGCCCTTTCTGTTGTATCACAGAAGTGGTCATTCCCCACAGCCCTGCTTAAGGATGTGGTAGTTTGTGTTTATTATTCTGTTGTTTGTTTGTTACGAATATGGTGTTTCTTGAACAGTTTCATGTTCCCCTGGCGTTAAAAGGGAATCTATGACGAGTGGAAGCAACCATTCATTGAATATGTGTTAATTGTCTCCTGGTTTTCAAGGGAATCGATCGCTGCCCTTTTAATTGAATATGTTGTTTGTGTTTCTTTGTTGGTTTGAAAGGTACTCTAGCACTACTGGAAACAGCAATTAATTGAGTATGGTTATTTGTTCTTGCGTTGTTCAGGGGAATATGTTTGTCACTTCAATTGAATATGTGTATGCGTTTAGAGGGAATCTATCACTACTGGAATCAACATTAAATGATAATGTGTTATTTTCCTCCGGTTTTAAATGACTTCTATCAGCACTGAAAACAGCATTAATTTGAATACCAGTTTTAGTTTCCCATCATGGTTTTAACATGAATCTATCACTTTGGGAAATAAGAGTTCATCGGATCTGCTAAATTATTCCCTTGGATCTATGACTACTGGAAACAACAATTCATTGAATATGCTCGTTTACCGGTTTTGAAGGGCATCTATCACTAGTGGAATCTGCATCTAGTTAAATCGGTTCTATTGTCTTCTGTTCCTGAAAGGGGATCTATCACTACAGGAAACATTTGTTTCATTGAGTCTGTGTGATGTTTCCCCCGTTGGCTTTACAGGGAATCGCACTACTGGAATCTGTGGCATTGTTGCAGTGGGAATCTATCACTACTAGGAACTACTGGAAGCAACATTTGATTGAGTATCTGTTAGTTTCTCTGTTGGTTCCAAAAGGAATCCATCTCTATTGGAACATAGATGTTACTTTTTCTAGCAGACGGTTCCTGCCAAAGGTCTCCTTCGTGTCGAGATTGATGGTTCCTTCCTATTGGAGGCTTTTGAAGGGACTGCAAAGAACCCCCCCCCCCGGTGAGGGATTTGGTGTGTGTTCTAAAGAACATCCGAGAAAAATCCCACGGCATGTCAAAGGGATTTGGTGCAAAGGCACTCCAAAGGAAAGACCTTTGGCTGTGTTCTTCAAGGATTTGCTGTGTTAGGAATCTCGAAGAGGACTCATGGCTTTTTTGGGGGCATCTCAACGAACTTCAGGGTTTTGTGGGGGGTATCTCAACAAAATCCCATGCGCCTTTTTTTTCGGGGTAGGCAGGGACCAAAACCCATTTTGAGCACTGAGCACCGCCCCGCGCTGACCGCGCGATGGATTTGAGGCTCGGTGTTGGGCAGCTCCCTGGATGTGCAGTGGGCGCTGAGGAGCGCGGTGAAGGACGCCCGACGGTCCAACCGATGCCGGGTGGTTCAAGCGACATGGATCACCGATGACATGGGTGTCCTTGTTTGTAAATAGATGGCCCTGGTAGATGATTGAACCACCAGGTAAACCAGGGCCAAGCCTATTTTTCAACCAAATCAACCAAAAAGGACGCCTATGCCCCCAAATATGTGGCTGGTTGTCAAAGCCGTTTTGGGATCCCATTTTGATTGGTAGGTGAATTCACCACCCATATTAGAACCTATTTTAGTGGTTGGATTGGGATGTTCACTGGGGGGCAACCGGGCTTTTGACCCATGGCCACATGAGTCACGTGCTCAAAACCGATTCGGGTAGACGATGAGTCAGGGACGAGCCCAAGGAATCAGGTGTGGCCGCCTTGGGAGTTCTTGAAGCATGGGCCTTGGGGGGACTATTTTAATACCGAGTTGGTCGTACACATGGCGCCTTGCCAGAAGGTCCAGCAGGCCGAAAGGGTCCCGGCTTCCTGTTCGGTGCCCGTCGCTTCTCCGCGCTTCGGGAAGCGCATGGTCCTCTGCAAAAGTTTTGCCGGGCAGAATTGGACGCCTAGATGACCCAGTAGTGCCCTGCTCTCCCCTTTTTTGGGGGGAAGCCACTAAATAGACTACGAAGAAAGTTGGTCGCCTTATTCTAACCTCTGTACTGGACCTAGACGCTCATTGGCAGACTAGCCATCCGCGGGCGAATGTGGGCTTGCTTTCCATGCAAAGGGGAGACCCATAGCCCTCGCGCAATCCCTGGGATAGCGGTGGCCTTGAGCTCGGCCCAAAAACACAGCGACGTGACGCAGGGGAGACCCTCCCGCCGGTGGCGTGGGATTGCGCATCTCCCGCATTGTCCCGGCAGGTGGACATGAGCTCGGCCCCACAAAAAAGAAAAACAAACAACAACAAAAAAAACAGGTAAGGCGTGAAGGCAAGTGACGAAGGTGGATGAAGGGCTCCCGTTTGGCTGAAAGGTATTTTTACTTGTTTTTGGTTGGTTTCTAAAAACCATGGGATGGGTGCTTTTGGCTGCTTCCATTTGCTGAAATGAATATGTTGCATTTCCCCCGGTTGGTTTTAAAGGGAATCTCTCACTGCCGGAAATATGTTCTCATTTTTCCAAGGCCTAAGCAAAAGGAAGGTAGGTTGAATTAGTGATTCCTTTTATATACAACCATTGGTTCCTTTCAGGTTTTGTAGTTTAGGGTTTAGGTTCCTTAGCTGTTTCTTGGTTTGGTGGTTGGGTGTCCATGTACCCCACAAGCTAAGCTTTTAGCTGGACGGCCCAGCCGCCTCAGCTTCCGCCTGGTTTTGCAGGTCTCGTACCCCTCTGTTTGCTGGTTTCAAGGGACAGCCAAAAGAAACGCCACTAGTTTGGGACAGGGTTGTGGGATCACTCGAGGGATCCCCCTTTGTATGAAGAAAATAGTCTTTGGGAAGCCCTTTCTGTTGTATCACAGAGGTGGTCATTCCCCACAGCCCTGGTTTGGGAGGTCTCCCAAAAAAGGACTCGCCCACTTGTCCCTTTTTCTAGCCCGCAGGAGCATCACCTGTGTGCCATTTCTCGTTGAGTCTCAGTTTGGAGGGGTGATGTTTAAAGGACACCGAAACTTGGAGCCCTGTGTTGTCTCGGAAAAAAGAGGGGGACTCCAAAACCTGTTGTGTTCGGCTAAACATAGGGCACGGGTCCTTTCCAAAATCTGGCTTCCGTTTGGCTTCCCCCCCCAAAACAAAAACAAAGTGCGTGTGTGTGTGCCCTCAAAAAAAAACAGGACTCCCCAGTTTTGGTTGACAGGGTCAAGGAAACCATTCCAAAATTTTCAATTTGGGGCATGTGGTTCATCTCAAAGAGCCGCACACCGCTCAAGCCAACCCCTACTTTCCTTCTAAGCTAGGATCAGAAACCTCTCGGTTTCAGTCTGTACAAGATCCTTCAAGCGACAAGGGTAGACCATTGGCGCCAGAAAAATACTGGAGCAAGGGCGAACCAAAAAGCTACATATTTTCCAACAATCAAGGAGAACATTGATGAATGGAGATGACCTTGAATGACTAAACCCAGGTTCACCCAACTGTAAGTGTAAAGGGAACTTTGGATGAGGTTCAGCAGACATTGTAAACGAGCTCCCTTACTTGGGGAGTCCTTATTTCCGGTCTGCAAATTGTGATCATTAGCCCAGGTGCGCTTGTTCAAAACACCATAGATTAAATATGTGAGCAACGAGACACAAACCACGTTTTTTTTTTTTTCTCGCCGAAAGGACCTTCGAACTGTTTTTTGTGCGGGAGAATTGCGGAGGGAGGATCGTCCCCATGCCTTCTCGCCTTCCCCAATCTGACAGATTGAAAAGTAGTCGATGTTCATCGACTTGTCCAGTCACTCACGTTGAAACAAGAAATGAAAACCTGACTTGTCCAAGACACAAGTTCAAATCGTGACGTTGGTTTGTTGTTCCTGTTTACCACAGCCGGAAGCTCCCAGGACCCCTTTGGAAGGCTTGGAGCTTCCGGCTGCTCTGAGGGAGTGCAGTCTGGGGCCAAAAATAAGATTTAATTCATTGACCTCTTAGGGGACGGGCAGGAGTCCGCTGCTAAAAAGACTCGAAGATTTTGTTTTCGAAGGTGGACCGGCCCAAACGCCAACGCTAGCACATCTGGGACCACATTGTGTTTTTTTGCCTTGGGTTCGTGAAGCTTGAGGAAGAATTCCGCTTACAGTCCATCCCACCAACCCTTAAAAGGGACATTGATCTTCCAGGTATCCTCCCACAGGTGCTAGGATAGGTGGGAGGAAGGGTATTCTTTTCCAATATTCCCATGTCGTTGGGAAAATGTTGAGCCTATCATGAGTTGAGTTTAGGTTAGTTTGGGTCTAAATAGATGGGTCCCCCTGGTTGAGATTGATGTTGTTCCATTTACCAGGGGAAGCCCTTTCTTTCCAGTTTAGGTCACCTATGGTCATGAGTTGCCTTATCCCCACCCCCCCACCCCGAAAAAAAAATGGGATGGGGGGAGTGGGGTGACTCCCGGAATTCCGTTTTCCCCACAAAACGAAAAATGGAATTGTTCGGGGGACTCGCCGCCGAACCCGTGCAGTGCTGCAGGACGCCGCCAGCTACCCTGTGGATGGCCGGCCAGCCACCTACAAGGAGGGAGCAGAAATGCAGAAAAAGAGATACTCAATACTTGTCACCATAGGTGTCCTTTTTGGTTGTTTTGGTCGAAAAATATATGGCGATTCCTGGTTTACCTGGTGGTTTAATCATCTACCAGGGAAACCCATCTATTTCCCTAAAAGGACTCCTACACTTGTCACGCAATAGCTCCGCATAGCCTAGGTTCCCCCACTAGTGCCCTTTACCAACTGTTTTGGGGGAGGGTTCCCCTACAAGAAAAGTTGGTACCCTTATTCTAACCTCTCCACTGGAGGACCCAGGTTTCTTTACAAGCGACCAAAACATGGCCACCTTTCGAACACCCAAACAAAAGAACGATTCACTCAGCACCCCCCCCCAGGCCAGTAGGAGGACCTAGTAGCAGTAGTTCACTTCAAAAAGCTTAAACCTTGTGGCTTTTCCCCACCCCAGCAACCCAGCAGCGCGCAAAAGGTTCATTGGCCATTTGGGTGGTTTGACCACATGGTTTATGCAGGTACCCAGGCCTATCTTAAATCCCAAGGCCTTTTTAGTACCAGTCAATGGCTGGGCACTGCTCTGGGTTTGTCTCACAAATGGTGGTTGTCCTTTTGGTGTCCCTTTAAAACCACCAGCCCACCCCCCCACCCCACCCACCAAAAAGCCAAAAACAAGAAAAGGAGCTGGCCCCAACAAGAAGCACGCCCGCATATGTTTCAACACCCCACATCACCAACAACTGGCAGTGGCTCAAAAAACCGGAATACCAAAATGGCTTGCCCTAGGAAGTGGAAACATGGGTACCAACACCTGCGGTTTGCCCCTCCGATCGTTTAATTTTGAGCCACACCAACAACTCAAACCAAGACACGGCCAGCCCCGAAGGCTTTGGCCGACGCTTTGCGCACGGCTCCGGAGCGCCTGGTCTGGGCCCACGGCGCCTCGGACGTGATCTTGCGCACCGCGCTGGCGGCGGCCAAGCGAGGCGGGGTGAAGGGCGCTAATGGGCGTTGAGGGTGGGAGGGTGTTTTTAGCGCCTGTTTTGGTATTTCTGTGGACAGGAGTGCTTTTCGGGATGGTTTGGGTGTTTTGGGGGTCTGGCGTGTTTTGGGTGTCTGTTTTTATCTTCCCGGTGTTTTTGGTGTCTGGTCGGTGTTTAGGGTTCCCAGCTTGGAGATCCCAAAAAGGGTTCCCCCCCCCAAAAAAAAAGGAGAGAGACACAGTTTCCTCCTTCCATGTTTTTTTGGTGGGTCAAATTGGAGACAGCAATACTTTTCCTTTTTTTCAAAGTTTGGTGGTGGGTCAAAAATTGGGTGACCCCGGGCCGTGTCGCGAAGGTCAGGTTCCAAGTAAAGACGGGTGGGATGGTAACACAATTGGCTTCATGCTCTCAGCTTGGGTATGGGTCAAAATTCAACCATCAGGAATGGGACCGCAGGTTTTAAATGTTTCCATTTACCAGGGCAAGCCATTTTGGGCAGGGCCGTGGGAAATAACCACTTCTGTGATACAACAAAAAGGCCCTCCCAAAGACTAACCCTATATCAAGATGGGATTCCCAAAAGTAGCACCTGGATCCTTGGGGTGAAAGGTTCCTCTTGGTTTCCCGAAACAAAGACCAGCCCAAAGAGCCTCATTTACGAACGGAAACTCCCAACTTGGAGTTCAAAAGATTGAATTCAAAGGGTCCCTCAAGAAACACCCATTTGCAGCAGCAAAAAGAGCAACCAGTAAGGAGAATTGGATGGCACAGGTGTCATTGTGTTAGGCACTGACTTTCAACCGAAAGAGGGAGCAGGACGGTCGTGGCCCTGTTCTTTGGTAAGAAACGAAATGGCACTGGTAAATGACAGATTCCTCAAAATAGTGGCACAGGTGAGGCGAAAGACCATTTCGTTTGTTCAAGGAATGCTAAAACAAATCTGAATCTTTGTTGCGACTTGCTCCTGTGCGGCGTGTGCGGTTTAGTTTGCTGTTGATTGGTGTGGAGGCTCTGCACAGAGTTGTAAGGATTACTTGGTGTAACAGTACATCAGGTGGCAAAACGGGAGCAAAACGACTCGCTTGAAGCCAACGCTTCACCCCCAAACCTGCTTGTTTGAAGGTGATTGCGGGATGTTCGGATTCGGATTCATGTTTCAAGAATATGCGCAATGGACATCTGGGTATGATCCCCCTTGGTCAAGGCCAAGATTGGAGTTTTTGTCCCTTCTCGTCCTCCATGAACCAACAACTACCATAGATGTTGTCAGTTGTTCATTTGCTTGTGCCATTTCGTTGAGGGTACCTTGCGCGTTCTTCCAAGGATCAACAAGGGGAAACATATGAGGCCTGGGTAGATGTTTGATTCTTTGGAGCTTGTTTCCAGTTGGGAATTATAGATATTTGGCCAGAGGGGCGGTCCAATGTTCAGTCTATGCTCAATTTGGGAGGGGACTATTATGTATATAAAATGAATTTGGGAGGGGACTACTATATATATAATATATTTGGGAGGGGATTCTCGTATATAATGCATATGGCCGCACTAAGAACAGTATTTTGCTTACAACAAGGTTACCCCAATTTGAAATTTGAACGAGCTCTGCCAAACAGGCTTTCTCCAAGAAGTTCCTTGTGCATGGGTGCCGCGCTTCGGGCTATGTCAGCCTTTTGTGGATAAGCAACTACTCACAGACTTCACAGAGAGCACAGCGTGATTTCACCCAGAACTAATGGCTTGAACGTCACGTCCATGTTGGGGCCACAAAGGGTCGACACGAGGGGGGCAAGATCTTTGACCCAGACAATATGCAAACACCACTGCTCCTTGAACAACTGTCACAGGTACCGGCGACAGGGCTCTCATGCAAAGCCTGGAGCCCAGAAACGGAGCGCAAAGGGAGGAGAAGACATTTGAGGTTTGGTCAACATGTTCAGTGGCCTTGGTGGTTCCCAGCAATCTCCTCTGAGGTGTTTAGTGGTTTTTAGTTGGTTTAGTGGGAGGTAAAATAGACTACCGAAAAAAGTGTGTACCCTTATTCCAACATCGCTCTACTGGAGGACCCAGAGGACCCAGTAGTACCAAAACAAAACCGGCGCGTGTGCCTGGCTCACATCCGAGTATGGGTCAAAATTGCACCAACAAAAACCACAGGTTTGGGTCATGATTCCAATTTTGACCCACGTGGCTCAATTGGCTCACCTGGCTCACCTGAGCAACAATCAAAACCCGGGTAGATGAAGGTTAGTAAGGGACAATCCCAGCCATAAATAGCTGCGGCCGCCTTCTTAATTCTTTACATGGTTCTGGGATTACGACCATTTGAGTACCAGGTTTTGATTATGACTCAATTAGCTCAATTGGCTCACCTGGCTCACTGCTCAGGCCCCTCCTGGCCCAATGCGGCCTCGTTGCTGCGCGCCGGCGGCCTCAAAGTGGACACCGCCCGCAGCCCCAGGAGGGACGTTGGCCAGCCGCTAGACCGGCCTCGACGGTCCTTTTTTTTTCAGGTGAAAACGAGACAAGACGTTTTTGAGAGGTCTAAAATAATTTTGGCACCATCTGAATCAAAGGTTCACGGTCGGTTCGGAGTTGAGGGAGTCCCCCGAAGTGATGACCCACTGCAGTACACAAAGACATGGTGGTCGTTGGGTTTTACATTTCTTACCATTTTTGCTTATTGTGGTTGAGTGGTTGAGATCCAAATCCACTTAGCTGCTAAAATTTGAGAACTTTTGCTCCCCAAACCCAACGTCAACCAAGAAGAGGCGACTATACAAGAGTCACCCTTTGAGAATGGTTGGTTGAGATCCCATGGATGCCACGAATTCCACCGGCTTCAGCTGGGTTTAAATCAGTTCCATCGAGTGGACTCGATGTGTCGGTTAGGGAGCCGGCTGGTGATGCCACCAGTTAGAGAGAAGCTGAGGAGGTGGTCTAAGTAGGAGCACTTGGACCCTTGTAGATTTTCCGCCCACCCCCCTCCCCAGGCCTCGCATGCTTTGGCCTACCGAGCCTCAAGCTGGAGGGTGGCCTTCGATTTCCATGTAATGTGTTCGGCTTCGAGCGCCAAGACTTTGAGTGGAACACCATCAACAGAGCACCTTCAGGGCTTCCAATCGGAGAAGTCACTCAGAAGAGGAGACTAGGTCCCCCCTAGCTGCCCTTCTCTCCCGTTTTTTGGGGGAGGGTTCCCGTACTGAAAAGAGTTGGTACCCTTATTATAACTGGAGGAAGGAGAGCCACCAGCCACCAGCCGCAGCCGAGTGGCATTTGTTCACGGATCGTTGACAGGCGGATCTGATGCTGTGGAAGTTGCCGTAGATGAAGGTTAGTAAGGGATGGTCCCAACCAACTAGAGAAGTTAAATACACTCACTTCCTGAGTTCCGTTTCGGACTTCAGTGGTAAACAAAAGTGTAGACTTGTTTGACCAAGCTACTCAGGAAGTGAGTATCGGGTTTTGATCATGACTCTGTCTTTTCGCGCCAGAAGGCAGGCAGAGGCGTTAAAGGTGGCTGTGAGTTTTAATGGGTCCCGAGCCTTTGGGGAATGATGCAAATCATGCCCACCAACCACTTTCTTCCATTTGCTGAAATGAATATGTACTATTTTCCCTTGGTTTTAAAGGGAAACCATCACTACTGGAAATAGACGTGTTTTTTCCCGGGGACTTAATCAATTGTGTGCTTCCCCTGTTGGTTTCAAAGTGACACCTACCACTGCTGCGAGTATGTTGTTGTGTTTCTCCTTCTTTTTTACGGCTAGGTACCCCAGTAGTGCCCTTTTACCCTTTGTTTGGGGGAAGGTTCCGCTACTAAAATAGACTACAGACAACAGAAACGGTGCCCTAATTCTAACGCCCTTCTTCTAACCTCTCTACTGGAGGAGCAAGACAGGGACGTTTCGCAGAGGGAGGCTTGGGTGGTTCCAACGCTTAAACGTCATACCCTCCCATCCAGAAACATGGAACCTCACGCAGGGGTCCTGGAAGACCATTTTCCTTTTCAAGCGATCCCGTGGCGGTTTCCATGTTAGTCGACAGGAGGGTACCCGAGAGAGCCCAACGGGCACCGAGGTGCCGTACCCGGACCCCTCCGAGGGGGCGGAGGGCGGCGATTCCTGGGAGCTTCTCCGGGAGAGGTTGGACGGCCCGGCCCTCGGCATCGAAGATGTCGAGCCTTCTCGACTTTGGCAGGGGAAAAGGAAAACAGTTTTCTTGTTTTCTTTTTCTTCTTTTTTTCTTCTTTTTTTCGGGGATGTGTTTTTCATGTTTTTTGCCGGGCAGATGTTTGTTTGTTTTTTTTGAGCGGGGGGGAAGGCGAAAAAAGTTCAAACTCTTCTCTTCTTTCTTTTGTTTGGGGGGGGACACCCCTTCAACTACCAAGGTTCAAACATCAACTCAAAGGGGCACCCTCTTTTTCAGGACTTCTGGGGCGTGCCTCTGGAAAACATGCAGCGCGGTCCACTGGAAAACTGGTTCGTCACGGCTTGAACATGGGGCTAAACCTTCGGGAATCAGGGCGGAATGGCGGGGATCGCTCGTTTTTCTCCTTTGATTTCAGAGCTTAAAGCAGGGGCCTTCCCTGATGCTTGCCGGGCTTCTGTTTTCAGGTCACTGGATTTGCCCTTGGTGTGCAATTTCATCGCCACTTTTGGAGGTTCCGAAAACGGAACTGGAGGAAGCCTTTCCTTTTGGAGGGGGGGGGACCCTTTTTGGCCGGGTTTTACAGGGAAACCGAAAAGGAGACCAGCAGTTTTTGGGTACTTTCCTACAGATGAACATGGAAAAGCCCACCGACTTCTAGAGGCAACTTGAATCTGGGGGACCCCCCTCCCCACCCGCCTTTGGGTTCCATGCTTTGTGCACATCCTAGGATTACTTTTGATTTCTAAGGCATCAAGGCGTGGCTTCGACTCATGGCATTTGTAGGGGAGCAAATAGCTCGCGCTCACGCGGCTGAGGGTCCAGGACCCCTCAGTCCTGTAGTTCGAGAATGTTTCCACACAAACCATCCGTGGACCACGTCAAAGGGAAGATTACGCGACTTCCATTTGCTTAAGAATATGTGTTAGCTTCCTCAGTTGGTTGTTGAGGGGATGATCACCACTGTTTTTTGCGGGATTTTCCAAAGCACTGAAGCAAATCGAAGATGAGGATTTTTACACAACAGGTAGCAGATGGTCGGCCCAGCCCCGAGTTCGAAAGCAAACCAGGACTGCACGAAGGGGTTAGTTTTCATAGCCAACCGGGCAAATGTTAAGCGCTGAGCCATTACACACCTTGGTGGCTCCCAGCCATTCCCTTGGCCTTTTAGTTGTTTAGTGTTAGTGGTAGTTTCCACTTAACCCTCTAAAAGTTAGGCTTTTCGCGGGGGATCAGAAAACGGGCAGCCCAGTAATATGGGGGTCATCAACCTATCCTAGGTCCCCAGTGCCCTTCGTTACTTTTTTAAGGGGGAGGGCTTCTCTTCTAGAACAGTCATTTCCGCTTGCAGTCTCGGAAATCGGTATTTTTTTTGCATTCAAAAACCTCAGTCTCAAAGTCCCGCCCAGTTCCGCCGGCCTTGGTGTACTTGGTGCACCCTCACTTCCCAACGGGACCGGTGGGGACCGGTGGGGACTCGGGGCTCGTCAGAGATCGGGGATCTGGATGGAAGGTTGGGTTGGTAGTCTGGTTGTTTGCCCGTTTGCCTCCTTGTTGGCAGGCCGGAAATGACACGCAGCATGTGTCCTGCCATGCAAAACGGCCCGCATGAACTTGGTGACTGGCGTGTTTTTGGTTTTTATTTTGCTTGGAGTCAAAATTACCATGTGCAAGTTCCTGCCAAAGACCATTCCGTCCAGAAGATGACCCAACAAGAAATGCTTAACTCGCACAAAAATGGACTTATCAGGACCCCTGTACGCCTTTGGTTCGCTGTCAAGGTGCCCAGCCAGAGTTGCCGCAGGAGTGAAGGACCCCCACTTCGCCGAGTCTCTCCAGGAGAAAACGTGTGCAACGCAGGGACGGCAGTTGCCATGGAGCAAGGGGAAACCTGGTAAGCCACAAGGAACACCACCCAATTTTTTTTTTTTTGGGGGGTCCCCCAAAAAAAGACACCCACTTCAGTCATCAAAGAGGGTGCCCCCTTGACTTTAATTTTTTCAAGGACAGCTTCAAGCATTTCATGTTTGAACCCTGGTTTAGCCCCATGAACCACAACCGAGACTAACCATCCTTTTAGATGGGACTGTGTGTTTCGTGTTGGATGGGATTTCTCTTCCAACATGTTCAAGCAATGCCCTTTTTGTTGCCTTGGGTGTGCGTCCGGAGTCCGTGTTATTGGTTGCCGAACTCTTGCAAAGAAGAAACCTGATGGAGCAAACTCAATAGGAAACTACGACCCAAAGGACACAGGTTTTGGCTCAATTCTGGACGCTAGGTTTCTTCATGCCCCCTCGCAAATAGAATTGGGTTTGGGAGTGACCTTCTTTCTAGCTTAAATCAATAGTTGTTGCTATCCAAAAAACAAGCCCCACTCCATTCTTTGAAAGCCCGGTTTATTAGGAAAAGGGCAACTAGATGAGTCGAACTGAGAGGGGAGCACCACCCCCACCCACCAAAGGTTGCCATGCGCACGCCTGGTGTAACCTAAAGGGTGAAAGTAGATGGCACACTGCCCGGTAAATGGGATGACCAAGCCAACACGAGAAACTGTGCCGTCTACTTTCAGCCAACTGTAACAAGACCGGTTTCTTGTGCAAAGGTCGACAATCAACCGTCTGAATTGGTGCGGTTTAGACACTCCCTTTTGTTTCTTGGATTTTAGACTTGGGGATTTTGTTGGACCAAACAAGTCTTTTTTCCCCAATACCCGAAAGCTCTGCGGGCTTTGCCCAGATAGGCTCTGGAATGGTTTGGGGCTTAGCTTTTCAGGCATGCAGATGGGTCCGGGGCTGTGGGCGGCTACGGCCATTTGTAGGTGTATGTCTGTTGGTGGGCTGATGGACAATACAGCACTACCTTGCTGTTTTGAGGCTACTTTGACCTTTGTTTGAAGGGGAAGCAAAATAAAGCCCGCCCATTTTGGGGGGTCCCCTAGTTTGACATGCCTAGACAGGCTTGCCCAGTCGGGATCCCCGGCCGGGGTTTCTCCGATCCAGTCCAAAAATTTTAGGGGGTCCGTCCCCTTTTTTGACACACGTATGGGAATCCCCGGCCTTTGGGTTTCTCCAAAGCCGGTAAACCAAAGCAACCGCTTGGGCCGATCCATGGGAAGTCGGATCGGGCTATCCTTCAAAATAGTACGGTACTGTATTGTCCATCAACCCACCAACAGATATACACCTACAAAATGCCTGGGCTTTATGATCTGGGTGAATTATAACGACCTCACGCGGCCTCACCCCAAATGGTGGTTTATGTTGAGAATAGCCCCCCAACCACCTTATTTCAGGCTCTTGGAATATTATAATTCACCCAGTATGATAATGGGTATGATTCCCCGGAGAAGGTTATACAGAAATAAACCAGTTACACCTACAAAGGTGTTTTTAATACACCAACAGATAATGTTTTTAGCAACAACAGGTGTCCTTTTTGGTTGGTTTGCTTTAAAAAACTAGAAAGCCCTGGTTTAGATGGGGTTTATGCCCCATTTACCAGGGAAACCCATCCTATTTTCCGGAAACGTACGAAAGCAACCGCTTGGGCCGATCTTTGGGAAGTCGGATCGGTCTATCCGGAACAGGAGCTCCTGGCTGCGGGCGCGTTCCAGCGCTCCTTGGTGGCGGTGGACCAGACCTACCTGGGCTTCACGGACGGCGACGGCTCAGACCCGTGTTTTGAACCAACTCAAGGGAAGCGTTGCTGAACCTCCAGTTGCTGAAATAAATATGTTTTATTTTTTCCTGTTGGATTTAAAGGGAATTGATTCCACTACCTTACAAAAATGCTTTCCATGGGCCTCAAGCAAATGGGGGCTTGAGGGAAGCTCTTTTTAAGGGGAACGGAGGGAATATGTTCTTTAAACAAGCTCCGGTTTGTGAAAAGATCCCTAAGGAAACCAAAAAGAGGAGATCTCTGTTTGCATTTTGGTTGTTTAAGGCCAAAAAAGGAACGCGTGTTTTCGGGGTTGACCCTGTCCACCGAACAAGGGGACTGCGTTGCTTGGTGCTTGGAGGCCTGGGTCTCCGCCAAACTGAAAGACACCACACGATGGTTCCAGAGCTGGGTCAAAGTTAAATGGGAGGTTGAAGCAAAACGGGGAAGTCCCCTACAAAAAGATACCCACTATGGTCTGAATATCTTGTTTGCGGTTCCAGAGTTGGGTCAAGTTTAAATGGGAAACAAGAGGAGGTTGTTTAAGCAAAAGGGTGTATGCACAGGGATTTCTACATGAGCTACGACCCTGAGCAGGGCTTTGATCTATATGGAAATCCCCGGTGGATTTCTTGTAGCTAGTTACTATGATTGAACCAAACCAGAAAAGCTGCAGCTGTTCCGAATAGGCTCGACTCACCGATTCAGGTGGGGGGAATGGAATGACTCCCCTCATGCAGAAGATTCCTGTTGAGGATCCCGTAGCTCCAGTTGGGAGTTACAGTGTTATTTGGCCGGGATCCTGGAAAGGCAAGCCAAACGAAGGTTGGAACAATTTCTGCTGGTCTTGTTAAACTCCCTTCCCTGGCTGGGGTCTAGTCTAGGAGGGTCTAGAGGTGGTATCCTTTCTTTTCAAGGTGCCTTGTTTCTTGACTGCTATTGGGTTGGATCTTTAGACTTGAACTTAGTGGGAAATCAAGGGGTTTTCCACTCCCCCCCCCCCCCAATTTTTTACTTTGGGGTTTTCCACTCACCCCCCCTTCCAAATAATAATGTTGTTGTTACGTTTTGCAGGGGGGTCAACAGCAACGTGCCTTGTTTGAGTGTTTGAGCCATCCAAAGCCTGTCGAGTGAAGGCCAAGCAGTCCGAACTCGACAGTTGCGGGTGGACGACTTCTAGGTCCCCCAGCCAGGTGCCCTTCTCTTAGCTTTTTTGGTTGGGAGGGTTCCCCTACTAAAACAGACGCTTCAGAGAACAAAAAGTGGGTACCCTTATTCTAACATCTCTACTGGAGGACCTAGCGCTTCATTGTCCGATTTCCCCCCTTTTCCCTTTCGTAGGGTAGAGTGGGAACATGAAACACTGTTTGACCCGTTAGATATGGCATATGGGTACGCATGTACTGAATAATCTGGGGTCAATATGTCCCGATCCAACCGCGACTTGGGATCCCAGCGCGGAGCGTGGAGCTCCGGAGGAGCTGACCACAGACGATGAACTCCTTGAGAGCCTGGCGGAGGCGGGGGCTGGAGTTGGTATGCTTTTTGGGCTGCTGGTTTAAAGGGAGACCCAAGGAAAGCCAAAGTTGGTGTTCTTCATTTCCTTGTTTTTTTTTGGGGTGGGAGTTTCTAAAGAGGGACATTCCCGTGTCCCGTTGAACATGGTGTTGTTTTTCCGCATGACATATTGGACAGGCCGATTGGAAGTGGGTCTCCCAGGGTCGTTGTTCGAAGCGGAAACAAGTAGAGGGCCTGAAAAAGGCAGGCGGATCTTTGAGATGATGCAGGCCCATTTTGGGTCATCCCGGGTACCATGTTTGGGGCCAAAGCCCCCTTGGGAGGCGGGGTGGCGGGGGGGAGGGGGGGGTTGATTGACCTGTCGTTTTTGAAACAACCCGTCAAACCGAGGGCGGTACAACCAATTCGAGGCTGGCAGACATGTCGAAGAAGCAAAACAGGGAGCTCACATGGCAAGCCGCTGAAGAGCCCATGCAAGGAATCGCAGGGCGCATAGGGGTTGATCAAAAGGTCCTCATAGGATGACCATTGCGGAAAACCACTAAAAAAGAGTTGTATGTGTCCCGCGAAATGGGAAAGGTTGAACAACAGCCGCTCATAGACCCCGAAGCAAGGCTATGGGGAGGTGGTCTATCCCCTATTAACCCCTTGAGGCCTTATTAGCTTGGCGTATCCTAGGCTTTTGCAGGGATATATGGGGGTTGATCAAAAGGTCCTTTACATGGGATGACCATTAGGCAAACCGCAAAAAGAGGATGTTTCCCACTACATGGAACAAGTCTCCCACGTCATTTTGTGGGCCTTCATATTTCTCAACCGGGGTGTCTTTTTGTTTATCAATCCCCATATAGCCCTCCCTCTCCCCCATAGCCCGCTGTTCAGGGTCCAGCCATCCATCCCACGCGAGGAGTACGACAACGTGGTGCTGATTCGCTCCCTGTCGAAGGCACGGAGCTTGCGGCCGGAAGATCACCGCGCACGCAGTTGGTGTAACTTGGGTTCGCAGCCATTTCTAGGTCCCCCGGTAGTGCCCTTCTCTCATCTTTTTTTTTGGCGGAGGGTTCCCCTACTACAAGAGACTACCCTTATTCTAACCTCCCTACTGGAGGACCTAGTTTTGGTTCCTTTGCTTTTTAGCTTTCTGGTGTTTAGTGGTTGGATTTCCATATTTAACCCACTAGACGTTGAACACTTTGATTGGTGGATTAGTTTGGACAGCCCAGGCAGCCAAGTATCCGGCACGCCAAAAAAGCCCTGGTTCATTAGGGGGAGGTCCCAACCCCATATTTTTTCAGGCCGGGGTTATTTATTTGGGATGAATATGATTTTGTTTGTTTGCTTTCTGCGAAAACGGTTTTCAAGGGAACCCAGGTTTGCTCGTAACCCGTCATGGCAAAGAGCCGTATTTGCCGGAGACAGACGTGCGATGGCATCACAAGATATTCGATTCTCCTTCGGTAGTGTCCAGCCCAATGTATCGTCCAGCCACTGTCCCTTACTTGAACTGACCTCTTCAGTTGGCGGGGGTCCTTTGAATGCCCTAACATAAACGTGTCACACCGAAAAATGATGGTTTCCCTTTGGAAGTCTCGAGTGGCGTGCCTGCGGGCACCCTGGAGACTCTTGGCGTCGACGGAGAGTTTTTTGTTTTTTCTCGCATAGACAACACAGAGGAATCGTATAGAGAGATCGCGAAGAGAGAAAGCTGAGGAATGGTAACGTCACAAAAAGATCGCTTAGAGTGGATTTAGGGAGGACGTTCACATGCATGTTTAGTGGCACAAACCAGCGATCGAATGTGCACATTGAGGCTTTCCAAGCATCAGCCATGTTTTTCGCTGCAACAAAATCAAGCAGCACCCAGAACATGGAGCGAGCCATAGCCGGGAACGGAACCGACGCCAACACGAAACGCAAATGAGGGAATCAGATGACCCTGTCCCCTCTGTCCCAGGAAGGAGGAAACGGAACTCCCCTGAGATGAATGAGGGAACTCCCCCCTGTCCCCTCAGATGACCCCGAACTGGAAGTGGGCGGGAGGTTGGAGGAGAGGAAATTGGGTCGCAAGGAAAAAGCGCGCAGACTGCTCACAGCTATTTTCTTTGGTGCATATTGCTTGGATGTTAGGACTTTAACTTTTTGCCAACTAATGGGTTTTCAATTGAACCACTAAAAATTAAGCTTTAGCAGGGGAGCAGAAAGCTGGGGAGGGTTTTACCCTACTAAAATAGACGTCCTGAAAAAAGTTGGTACCCTTGTTCTAAGCTCTCTACTGGAGGACCTAGCCTATGTTTGAAGTCCGATACGGGATCAAGGGTTTGGTCAGTTTGGTTGCTTTAGCCAGCTGGCCCTCTGTTTGGCAGAAAGTGGGGGGGATTCAATCCCGCTTATGCGCTTATGCTGGACATTGAGAGCCTATGGTGGCTGCAAACTCGCGTGTCGATTAAACAACTTAGAGGAACAAGCATGGAGGTGTTGGCGCGACACAAATCTCCCTTCCCTCTCTTGCCTTCCCTAGAGCCATGCATGAAGGGGACCGCTATTGTGAGACCCCCTGATCTGTTTTTTGGCACCCGCACCCGACCCAACATGGTTCGATCCGAGCCCTCCGGTCAGCGTGTCTTCCGAAGCTTTGGTGGCAAGGTGCCATGGAGACCTAGCAGACTCCAAACCTCAGAACCAACCCAAAGCAGGCGCGAACTCTGAAGCGACCATCAAAAAGGGAACCTCACCCTGTAACTGTGGGGAACAACTTCCCCATGTTCTCAGTGAGCAAGAATACGTTTTCAATTGCTCCATGTTTCAGGGGCGACTTCCCATTTTCGAGGCCTCGGTGCGCCCGCAAAGACCAAACACGTCGCCTCGTTTTTTTTTTTTTCCTGCGCCCGGCGCAGGTGGAAGGCCTGGCGGCCTTGAGGCTGGGCTACGCCAAGAGCACGGTGCGCACGGTGCAGCAGATCACGGAGCCGGGGTTGGGGTTGGGGGTTTAGGTTGGACGGGTGGCGTTTTCATCGCTGAGGTTGGCGAAAATACAGAAGTTTATGGTTTAGGGTTTAGGGTATCCGAGCAGGTCCAGTAGAAATCCGGACCAGTCTTCTTGTCGGATTGGTTATAGAAACGATGGGTTCGGCTGGTGTAGATGGACCGGTGTCCTTTTGATCGGTGAGTTTGGTTAAAAAAAGTCCGAGAGGTTCCACTGGTTTCGATGGGTTTGAGGCCATGTACCAGGGAAACCCGTCCACTGGTTTGGATGGGTCTTATAATCTTATGCCATGCACCAGAGAAACCCACGGAGTTTTTTTCCGGTTTAGGCCGATGAAATCCCGGGAGAAAAAAAACTGGAGCTGAGACTGCCGGAGCAGACTGGGTGGACTTCGGTTTCGGAGGGCCAAAGCACCACAATCACTCTGGGAGTGTTTTGTTTTGAAGGTACCCCTTTTTGGGTTGGTTTAGCTCGAAGCTCTGGATGGCTCGCCTCTTTTTGGAGCATGGTACGCTTCTTAGGGGGTTGGTTTAACACGGGACGCCGAAAGGAAACCTGGTGCCGTGGCCCACAAGCCAAGAAAAGCTTGAGCCCGGTGCTTCAAGTGAGGCTTGCTGGTACCCCCAAATCCCTGCCCCTCGTGAGGGTTGGGGTTCCGATTTTGGGGGCAGGGCTCCCGTTTTTGGATGTATATGTATTTAGTGAATTGGTCGTTGACTTATTAGGGGGAATCCACCCTTTCTTGGTGCGGGGCACCCTTCCTTTCTTTCCCTTCCCGTCCCTTCCCTCCCCTTCCCCTTCCCCTCCCCTTCCCTTCCCTTCCCTGCCCTTCCCCTTCCCCTCCCCTTCCCTTCCCTTCCCTGCCCTTCCTTCCTTGCGTCCTTGCCTCCCTGATCGCCCTCAGGAGACGTTGCCCTTCTACGGGGGCCTGTACGTTTCAGAAATGGCCTTGTCAGGCGCGCGGGGTTCCGACGGCGGTGCCAGATGTGTTTCTAAGATGCTTCGTGGGTCTTAGGGGTCCTCCAGGCTCCTGAATCAGGAATGGCCGGGTTTCAGTTTCCATGTGAGCCACTTGCTCAAAACCGATTCGGGTAGGTGAAGGGTAAGTAAGGGACCATCCCAGCCATACATGGGTGCGGATATCCGCCTTGGTAGAATTCTTTACATGGGTCTGGGTAGACTATCTTAATACCGGGTTTTGATTATGGTTCATGTGGTTGTCTTCTCTTCGGATGGAAAACGCAATCAAATCCATCATTGGAGCTTGCCCATGTTACAGAAACGAGCAGTCGCCCAAGAATGTGTGCCGAAGTTATTTGTCTGATGTCTTCAGATGACATGAGTTTTCGTGGGTCGCCATTTTGACCATTTCCAATGAGGGCGCATTTCTTTGTTTTGAGGTCCGCTTTGCGCCTTCATGTTGCAGGCTCCGTGTGTGTCGTTAGAGATCTTTGTCTCGGCGTGCTCTCCTGTGCCAAATCCGGTCAACATGCGGTCCACGGTCAGTTGACACAATTGGCATCCCACAGCCAGGTAGGGTAGTAGATGGTATATGTAAGGCGTCGGGACGAGGGGAGGAAAACGTCAATGGGTATTTTGACCGCTCAAACGTTTTAGCATTGCCTGGCTACCATTGCATGAGTCGTCTTGAGAATGCCAGAATGACCTGGCATATGGTTGACTGATATTTCCAAGAACAAGTTCCGGTACTTGGCCTGGTTTCTGGCGGAGGAGAGTTTGTTCGGAGCCAAGCGTGCAGGTAGCCAAAGCCTCACATGTGCCCAAGATGGGCCTCTGCTCGGAGACTCATCTTGGTTCCCTCGAAGCATCCCGAAAGGTCTCCATTTGCCGTTTTTCCTTTTGGGTATGCGGGCGCCTAACACCGCTCTTGGCCTGTTGAGAAAGCAGGGTTCTACTTGATGTATTTCTCGGGGATAGAAAGGTCTATCCAAAGTGTCATCTTGGGTTGGGAACCAAGTCTGTGGGCATCTGGCCCACGCCCAAGAAATGCCCAGCAAAACGAGGAGAAACTGAACTGAACATGGTTGAACTCCAACCCAGGCGGAAAAAGAATCTCTTCAAGAGACCTGCGGTGTTTCAAGGAAATGAGCATGTTTTTTGGCCAACTGGCAAACGGGAGGTAATCCTTGGTTCGTGGTTTGGATTTGAACCTCTGCTTCTTGTAGACGATGAACGGGGTTTCCACTCCTCGCTCCAAATCACCCAATCAGAGGGAAGCTGATGAGTAGATTGTCAGCATCCGTGGTTTGGAGGTTGGGGGGTGGTTTCCCATTTTCTTGGGGTTCAAATCCCCAACCACCAATCCAAGCGACCAACTCAGCCGGTTCACTCAGAGCCTGACAGGCGCCCTGGCAGCGATTTCTGGGCCGGTGGCTGTGGAGCACCGCCAGCAGGCGCTTCTTGGGTGGTTGGAAGGGAGCCGTTGAGCCGGGGATTTCCCATGCGGTGAAAGGCCGCTGCAACTAGGTCCCCCCAATACCTTTCTCACCCCTTTTTTGGTTGGGAGGGTTCCCCTACTAAAACAGACTATAGCAAGGTTACTCTTATTCTCACCTGTCTACTGGAGGACCTAGGCAAGCAGGGAAAAACCTACCATATTGGGGACCCCCCTGTTTTAGGACACCCACATCATGTGAATCGGGGTAACACCACATGCTTTTTGTTGCCAAGTGTTCTCATCATCTCAGTGGACCAGAGCCAACCGTGCCGTTCCGTGTGGCTTCCGAAAGCCAAACGGCTGATCCAAGTCAGCCAGAAAGCCAGCCAGAAGCCAACCAAACCGCCAGCCAGGAGCCAACCAAACGCAGCCAGAAGCCAGCCAGAAGCCCTGCCCAACGGGTTTGGGGGGGTTTGGTTTTTTTAAGTACTGGTTTGCCCAACCTGTTTGGGGTTTGATTCTGGTTTGCCCAACCCGTTGGGGTTTGATACTGGCTTGCCCAACCCGTTTGGGGTTTCCCGAGAACCCCCAAACCCTAACCCGAAAAGGGCCTGAGCAGGCTCAGTCGTCCAGCTGCCTCACAGCTGCCGGCCTGCCCCGTCTCGTCCCTGACAGGCTCGCCGCAGTAAGTGCAGTGTGTGGCACTCCTCTTCTTTGTCGGCGACTCCTTCGGCCTCGGGGGTCTTAGCAGCCATGAAGGTAAAGTTCACCTTCTTCGCGACCAGGTTCTTGCCGTCCGTGGGTGAACACCCCAATGTCGCACCCAAGCATTGAGCATGCGTTTGTCCACTGCAATCGTTCTTCCGCTCACGCAGCCCGCCCTGCGGTGCCTTGTTGCGTCGCGGTGTTTCCTCCAGACGTCGCGCAGAGTGATCCCGGTCTAGAATCGGAAAACTGCATTATCCCTCCAATGGCCCTTCTGACCACACGAGCTGCACGGAGTGGCCTGCTTCTTAGCGGCCATGTCCATCTTTCGGCCGCAAGCCCGTTCTTGAAGTTGCGGGACTGGTCCGCAGCGATCTCATCCTCAGAGTCCTATGGGCTGCTTCCAACTCCGTGTCATCCGCCTTCTCGGAAATGTCCTCAAAGCTCCTCCTCCACTCCAGCAAGTGGGTCTGTGTTTTTTTACCGTGTCAGTTCTTTAATCTTCGTGGGAGGTGGGGCTTGGGCGAGCCATACCCCCAAATCATACCCCGAATCATGCGATTCATACCCCCGAAAAAATCCAAAAAGGAGTTTAAGAACTGCCTGATCGAAGGCCTTAGCTAAGGGTATGCAAGTAGAGCCTGTTCTGCGGGCAACGCAATTCCCTGTCTGTCCCCAAGCAACTGGCGTTTAGGGTAGAAGTTACAGGTTAGCTTACAGCTCGTCACGCGCCAGCTGACAGTTTGTATGGCGACGCACGCGTAATTGCATTTCAAAAGTGCGCGTGTACTGCCGCTCCGGCGCGGGTCGAAAAATGACCAAGAATGAAGGCTTGAAACAGTCGGCCCGCCTTGCCGCTGCCCTGCGGCGCCGGCAGCGCCAGCTTTAGCAGGGTCTCCCGGCCCTCCGTGCTGTGCACCCAAGCCTCGGATTTCTCGTCACTGGAAGTCAAAACTTTGGAAACTGAAGTTGAATTTGCAAGAAGTCCGAGGCTTTCCTCCAGTTCCCTTTTTGAAACCTCAAGTAGAAACCGATCCTTTCAATGAAAAGCCACCGGATCCTCCAAAAGCGGCGATCGCGCCAATGGAACCAGATCCTTAAAAAAAGCTTGGCAAACGTTTCCAGGGAAACCACCGGTGAGAAACCACCGGTGAATCCTCCAGCCCAAACCGATCGTTTCAAGGGAAACCACCAGATCCACAGGTCGCGCCTTTTTTTTTGCTCTTTTTTTTTTTCGGAGAAGTCCAGGGACGAAACCACCAGTTTCCGGGAAGTCCAGTGAGTCCAGGGACTCCGGTCGACGCACGTCAGCGGCGTTCGACTCGCAGGTCTTGGACTTCTACGCGGCCGAGCAGCAGTGGCTGCGGGAGCAGCTGGAGGCCTTCCGGGACTTGGGGCCTCGAAGCGGAAAATCGGTTTTTGGGTGGGTTGGGTGGTTTTGGGGTCGGGGTTTGGTTGGGTTGGTTTCGGTTGGTTTCGGTTGGTTTCGGTTGGTTTCTGTTGGTTTCTGTTGGTTTCTGTTGGTTTCTGTTGGTTTCTGTTGGTTTCTGTTGGTTTCTGTTGGTTTCTGTTGGTTTCTGTTGGTTTCGGTTGGTTTCGTTGGTTGGTTTCTGTTGGTTTCGGTTGGTTTCGGTTGGTTTCGGGTTGGTTTCGGTTGGTTTCGGTTGGTTTCGGTTTCGGTTTCGGTTTCGGTTGGTTTCGGTTGGTTTCGGTTGGTTTCGGTTGGTTTCGGTTGGTTTCGGTTGGTTTCGGTTGGTTTCGGTTTTTCGGTTGGTTTCGGTTGGTTTCTGTTGGTTTCTGTTGGTTTCTGTTGGTTTCTGTTGCTTTCTGTTGCTTTCTGCTAGTTTCTGTTGGTTTCTGTTGGTTTCTGTTGGTTTCTGTTGGTTTCGGTTGGTTTCTGTTGGTTTCGGTTGGTTTCGGTTGGTTTCGGTTGGTTTCGGTTGGTTTCGGTTGGTTTCGGTTGGTTTCGGTTGATTTCGGTTGGTTTCGGTTGGTTTTTGTTGGTTTCTGTTGGTGTCTCCGGGCTTTTGCTCCCCCAATGCTCGGCTTTCTGACTTCCTTCTCTTGGATTGATTTTCTCCTGTTGGGTTTTCGTGTTGAGTATCCCGCATTTGGGCTACGGCGGATCCCTCATTTTCAGAAAAGCCTGAGAAGAGCATCCCAAACAAGGCTCATTCGTGGTAGAGTTGTCGTTTGGGCGACAAAATAACAGGGTCCGTCTGGGCAGGGCAAAATGTCAACTGACCTGGCGAGTTTTCACCAAAGAACACTGAAAAATTGACTTGAATCCAAGCCTAGCAATATGTTTCCCATTTGCCCCGCCACCCGCCCCGCGCCCCCCCCCCCCCCCCCAAAACAAAAAACAAGAAAAGCAACTTGCCTGAAAGCTGCTTCAGTTGGGGAACAATTGGCCCATATTTTCCAGACCCGCTATATCTGGACATATTGTTCAGAGTCAGACCCGTGTTGTTTATTGATTGATGAATAGGGGTGTGCTGCCGCCGCCCAAGAAAAGAGACACCCCGCCTTACCTGGGATTCTTGTGGCTCAACAAGAAAAAGACCTGGGAAATGCAAACTTCCCAGGAGCCAATTGGGGCACATTTGTTTGAGGCACAGCCACTTGCTGCCCCATTGTCAAAGTCACCCGATTCCGTTCAGTGCTAGGTTGAAGTGAAACACCCGAAATTATATTTTTCTGACTAGCAGTAACCCACGGCAACAGTCAAACAACTACTCCAGGATCGCTGGTATCTTGACCTATCAACAAATCCACCTATGAATAGGGGGTCGTGCAAGAGGCGAAGCATTGTCCTTTCGGCTACCAGGAGCGGCCTCTTCTTTGCTCAAATCCACGCCTCATCCCAGGCTGTGCCTGCTTCATTGCAGCTACTTTTTTCCATCTGGCTACGTGGTCCTTTCACTTCAAACCACAAGAAAAAGACAAAAACATGGATACCAACTCCAAGAAGCCCAGGTGGTCCCAACAGCTCCAGAACTTTCTGGAGAGCGACGCCCCAAAGCACCCCTGATCGCCAATTTCTGGGGCGATCAACCCCCCAAAACGGTTTTAGCTGTTAGGAAAACAGGAACCACACCCAAGTAATGGTGTCTTTGTTGGAGGACCCCTCCAAAATGGTGCTTTTCCTTTTGGTTCTCTTTTAAAACCAGCAAAAAAGACATGTGCGCCCCAACTCCAAACACAAAAACGGAACCACGCCCAAGTGATCCGGGTCTTCCTCCTTCAAAGGGAACCTCCAAAAATGGCAGTCGTTTGAAAACCAAGCGTAATGCTGACGTTTTATCCAACAGTGGCTGAACTGGCTCGAGATTAATCTCTCAGCCTTTGTGCAAACCCCTCCAAAATGAGTTTCGGTTTTCCTGTTGCTTCCCTTTAAAACCAAAACACATGGAAGCCACCCGTAAAAAGCTCCTCAGTGTGTTTTTGGTTGGTTACCTTCAAAGCCACCAAACACATGGTGGGTGTGTTTGGGTTGGTTCCCTTTAAAGCCCGCCAAAAAAAAAATGGAGAAGAAAAAAAAACACCTCTTTTCCCCACCAAGCGCTCGGGGACCTTTAAAGCGCCGAAAATTCTTTCTTCGAGGCTTTGGGCTTCAAGACCTCCGCGGCCTCCGCGCCCTTCTTCCCCCTGCGGGGCCCCGGCGCCGCGCTGCGCAAGGCCGCGGAGGCGTTCCGAACGCGGCGGGGCAAACGCGGGCGGGGCAAACGCGGGAGGAGGGCGAAGCGAGGTGTGGGGTTTGTAACGTGGGGCGAAGCAATGTTTACTCTACTTATGTTTTAAACCCTCTAAGAGATTTGACTTGCTCAAAAACAAGATTCGGGTAGATGAAGGTTAGGGACACTCTCCTTTTACATGGCTTTGGGCAGACCAGTCTTGTACCTGGTTTGATTATGACTTACATGGGGCTAAACCAGGTTTCAAAAGATCAACGGTAACCTCTAAGTGGGTCTGTTCTTTTCTTTGTCTCAAGCCCGCCCGCTCACAGCGCCCTGGCACCAGGCTGCTGGATGGTAGTGTGGTTGGTGCATGGTGCTTTGAGGGCGTTTTTTAGGCCGGACCACCAAAAGTGATGACCCCCCACATCCCCTCTATCAAGCAACCAGGTTCATTTAAATTTAGATTATGATCAACATGAACCTCTAATTGCGTGAGTCGTTTTTTAGGTTGGACCCAGCAAAATGGCAACGGTGTCCTTTTGGTTTCTCTTTATACATAAAGGCACCCTCAAAAAAGACACTCATGTGGCGTCACCTAACGTTCTCAAAGCCGATTCGGGGAGATGAAGGTTAATGGGATAATCCCGGCCATTGGTGGGTAGACCACTTCATTTTCCGGGTGTTTATTCTGACTCACCTTTTCTTTGACCGTTGGTCGGACAACGGCGTAGCTGAACGCGTGTTCCCTGCAGGCTTTATCCCCCAAGCCAACCAGCAAATGAGCAAATTGGGGGGGGGATCCGAGCCCAAGCACCAGCGACATGTTGGAGGGTCCAGGGTTCCGTTTTTGGCTAAAACGACTTAAACCCCGGGGTTTTCCCTTTTGGGGAAATCAACCATACCTGGGTTTAAGTCGACTTTGGGATAGTCATCAAAAAACGGAACCCTGGTAGGGCCCCTTTTCAACGGGGACAAATCGGCCAAGGCCTGCGATGCCTTCTCACACTGCTCTATTAACTTGGAAATCCACCCACCCGCAACGTCCCACTTGGCATTCGAATGCCCAGTGGGATGCCCCTGAGGTCCCCTTGAGCCAAGCAACCCATCAAGAACCCCCTTCAACGCGCTTGATGTAGGATGTTTCATGGGAACCCTTCTGGGCAACACCAAACTAACATAGGTGTCCTTGTTGGTTTTTAGTGGAAAATGGACGGCGATTCCTGGTTGACATGGTTGTTTCATAATCTACCGGGGCCATCCCATTGTCAACCAAAAGGACCCCAGTGGATCCCAGGCAAGCCCATACAGTGGGTAACCAGCTATTTACCAGGGCAACCCATCTATTTGGGCAAAAGGCGCCTATGCATGTGAATCCCAGGCTTTGATGGCGACTCGCCCTTGGGAAGTTGACAAATGAACGCCGCTCCGCGGGGCCAGGGCGGCGCAGCGTTGCAGTGCTTCAGCTTCGGGGAGGAGGATGCGCAGCGGACCCCTGCCGCGTGGCAGAGGATGAGCTGGTGGTTCTTTGGGGAGTTGGTCTTGACTGCTACCGGGGGTGATGTTTTAAGGGGAAAACATAGGGAGCCCGGTTTCCCTCCAAAAAAAAACTGGTACCCGCAAAAAAAGACGCACCCACATGGATTTCTTGACTGCTATTGGGTAACGGATCTTTAGACTTGAAGACTTTTTGGGTGAAATCAAGTTGGGTGTTCCACCAAACCCCGCAAAAGTTAAACTTTTTGCAGGGGGGTCAACAGCAACCAAGTGGTATGTTCTTTTTTGTGGTTTTGTATGTGAAGCCAAAAGGAACGCCGAAGAGATTTGTTAAATGGTCTTGACTGCTATTGAGTTGGATCTTTAGACCGGAAGACTCTTTGGGTGAAATCAAGTTGGGTTTTCCACTAAACCCCCAAAAGTGAAACTTTTTGCAGGGGGGTCAACAGCAACCAAATGGTATGTTCTTTTTTTAGGCTTTGTAAGTGAAGCCAAAAGAAACACCGAGCAAATTTTGTGGGTGAAGGGGGAGGGGAAGACCCTTGAAGAAAACACCCAAATGTTTGATGTTTTGACAAGGAAATGGGCATGTAGTCTTTCTTCCAGGGAACCCTTCTTTGGGAACCTCACAATTTAAACCAATCAGGATTCAAATCCCGAACCACCAATCCACGCTCAGGGGTAACTTTCAATCCAATAAGGAGGTGCCAACTCCAGAAAAGGATACCCAAACTTACCGGTCGCAGCCGCGCCCAGGCGGTGTGTCTTGTGGCGGACCGAGCTTCAAACCATTCCACCATCAGGAGCAAGGGTCGGATGGGGGGGGAAAAGGGCGCAGAAATCGGGCGCAGCTGGAGGTTTTGAGATGTTTTTTAGGTAGGGCCCTCCTTGGCCTCGTTTGTTCAAGGGTTCCTAGATTTCCCTTTTCAGCCTGTTTTTGTTCACCTCAGCTTTTTCAGTTTCTGTGTGGGGTGATGCACTGTTGTTCGGGCCTCATTTTTGGGGAAACACAGGGTTGGGGGGGGGGGTTGTTGGAAGACTCTTGCGGCTCCAGTGGGGAAGAAATGGACCCTCGCGGTCCCATGGCGGTTTTGAGAGGAATCCACCAGTGGTGTCCGGTCTTGCAGGCATGGGGTGCGACGACGTGGTGCAAAAAGAATCAGGCCGACTTCTTTCCCTGGCCTATGAAGCGACTAGAAATCAAGCATGTGAAGTTGGAATATCCAGACATCCACGGCGAATTCTTGGGTTGGGGACATACTCATGTTCCACGAAAGAATCCTGCAGGGCCTCATGGAATAATTTTCCTAGGTCCATGCTGGGAGCTGCATATGTTTGCCACGGCTCTTTCGGCCAACATGGAGACTTGGACCAACGCCAGAGGCAGTGGAGCGCCAAAAAGCGGTGCCCTGCGTAGTGATTCCGAAGCCTCCACTTTGAGCAGCCCTGAGAGAAAGTACGGTGGGTGGAAAAGCGAACTCCAGAAATCGCACCACCGAACTCAGAAACAACGGAATTCGACTCGATTGCCCTGTAAATACCCACAAAGGTTATGGTTTCAACAATGTTTTCAATTTGGTGCGAACCGATTGCGGCAGCAACAACGCAAAACGGGTAGTCTCCGGTTCACCTTGAACTACCATCCCAAGGGGGTCCTTTTCCAGTTTTCCAATTTTGGTGGAAGCCTGGGCTCGTTCTGGTCTTAGGTGAATCACGGGCGGTACATGGTGAAAGGTGCAGCAGTCTGTGGGGCGGATCTGATTTGTTCCAATCAATCACTGTCTTCGAGCCAAGAGGATTCCAAGTAAAGTAAATTGTTCACGTTGACCCCATATTAATCGACCCCAACCCCGGTTGATCAATACCATGTGGTTCCCAAAATGGACACCCCCCTACTCATGAATAAACTGGGCTTGATGAATACGGGGTCAACATTCGGGCTGTCAAATCGATCGCTTTATCACATGCCCAAGGGTTTCGGCTATGATTTGGTTTTCGGGGCTGGAACAGGAGGCAAATTGGGTCTTCCAACTTGACGCTCTCTGGATGGATGTCAAGAAAGGTTCCCGGCCCTCAGGTCCCTTGTTTTTTGCTTTTTTAGTTGGTTTAGTGGGGGGGGTCCGCATTAAACCCGCATGTTTTCTTCTTTTAGCCGGGGATCCGAAAACGGACAGCCCAGAAATGTGATGTTTGTTTGACCACTCCGGTCAAGAGCGACGAGTCTCGCCCCAGCTTCGGACTTGATGATTCACTGAAGTAGCCCCGGGCGCCCTTTGATTACTTGGGCTGAGGGGCCTAAATGCTTCAAATGGGCTTGTACTTTGACGACATTAGTCATGGGAAGCAACACATGAGAACTTAGGTTGGCCCCTTGTATCACACCCCCCCCCCCCCCCCGGTTTTTTGGGGTTCGAAAAATCACCGCCTCCTTTGTGGTGTTGCTTCATATCCGGAGGATGTTGAAGGAGGCCCTGGAGACGACCAATCCACCCGGCTGGGCTGAGATGTGGGTGCCTCACAGCTTGGCTCGAGCCTACCTTTCATCAGTATGATTTTTAACTCACTCGCCCAAAGCGAATCGACCTTTCGACCTTTTGGTTTTCCCGTGTTGGTCCATGGCCCTAAAGGTGGTGGACATCACTTAGGTGGGAGTTTCTGTTGGGGGGATAGGGTTTATTCTTCCCACCTAGAAACCCTTTTCGGGTCGAGTCGTGGGTTTGTGGCCAGTTGGTTGCCACCCACTTTCCTTTGTTTGAGGTTCATTGTCAGACTGACAAAGGTCCCGCAGTCAATCAACCAGCAATCCAACAACAAGGGTGTGTTTGTCCCATTTGGGGAATGATCAACTAAACGTCCACAGAAACTGGTGCAATCTCAGCAAATAGCGAGCTCTGGTGGAAAACCAGCCACATACGAGTCCCTCAGATCAAATAATTCAGGTCGTGATTTGCCCAGATCTTTGGGTGACAAATATTATGGCCTCTGAATCGGACGGGGGGGGGGTGGGGTCTTAAAATCATGGAACCTCTTGAAAAGGCGCGACAAAATGACGGGCTTGTTTCTCGAAGGTCTGGTACGGAATAGCTGCAGCTTGGCTCCAGCTGTGGCTCACCGGATCCGCCATCAAAGTGAGCCTGGCGTAAGAAGGAGTTCCTTTGCAGGGGCGGACTTCATGTTTCTTGTTTTCAGGGCAGTACATGTGAGTGTAAGTTATTTGCCATGGGATGTCCAGGTTCACCACGTTCAATGGACGCTCAGAGGTCCCGAGGTCCCGAAGCCACCCCCGGCCGTTTTCGTGACGTGACGACTCACGCGTTCCCAGTCTGCGGGCTCCCGCCGACCGCGAAGGTTTCGTTTTTTTCCACGTTGCGGCACTGGCAAGCTCCTTCTGCCTCCCAAATTCATGTTGAATAGTGTTTGGCGCAGATGCTAAGTCAGGTTCTCCAACTGGGTCAGTTTTGTTGTGTTTTTTGCGAGAGATCCCTGTTTTTTGGTGGTTTTGAAGGAAAAAACCAAAAGGATACCCAGCTAATTTTTGCGGGGGCGGTGTCTGCTTTAAAAACAAAAAACAAAAAACACGAGCCACCCAAATCAATTGATCCGGATGGCCCAAAGGATCCAAGCGGATGGCTCCAGAAATCGCACCATCGAACTCAGAAACCCAACGGAAAAGTCGATTCGTGTGTTTTTTTTACCGGGAAAAATATATTTCTTTCTTTTCTGGATGTGCGAAATCCTGAGAAACCCAACGGAATGATTCGATTCCCCTGTAAATACCAACAAATATACTGGTGTCAACCATGGCTTCAAGGTGGTGCAGGATTTCCTCCATCCACAGTATGATAAAGACTCTGGGAATAGTTTCCGCGTTCCAGATGCTCCTTTGTTTGTAGTTGGGCCAAGTGAATTCCCGCTGTGCGTCGGGTTTTGCAAAAATGGTTGACCCCAACAAGCAGGTTTACGTGTTGATGTTGATGTGTCCCTGTTGGTTCAACATCAAATTGGCCCCACCCCACAAAGCATAATGACATGTTCTTTCCGGACTTAGCCTTTTTGCCCTTTTGCCCTGTTAGGTGTCCTTCATTTTGCCATCTGCCATTGCCGGTAAAGCTGTTCTTGCACGGAGTCTACCCTCACTCCCACATGGCTCCTAGTCTCTTCAATCGGAAAACCACCACAGTCCATGTAGAAACATCTCTCGGCTCCCCCAAAACCTCCAAGGCTCCTTGCAAACCTTTGGGGTAGGCCCAGGTGAGCCACAATCAAAACCCGGGTAAATGAAGGTTAGTAAGGGACAATCACAACCGAAATAGCCGCGGCCGCCTTCTTAATTCTTTACATGGTTCTGTGTAGACCATTTTAATACCGGGTTTTGATTGTGACTCAGGTGTTGTGGGACGACCCAATTTTCGGCGCAAAGACTCGCACGCACCTCGAATTCCTCCGCCCAGGCTGAGGCCCATGCTCGGCGGATGAGAAAAGATGCCGGCGTCGTTCGGTGTCGTTCGGGGGCGGGGGATGGAAGGTGTCTCACGGGCGCAGAGGGACCACTTTGTTTATCGCAGAATATAGGACAAAGATAGTATGGTATGATATGATGTGCTACAATAGATCCGTGTATGCATGGGTTTGTGTGTAGAGTTCGGACGGTCAAAGACACCGAAACTGTCTAAGAGCTTATGTTAAGGGAATCGTGGCCAGGCCTACACAAAGTTTTGTCCAAGGCACATGTGTGTATTTAATATATATATATATATACATATAGTTGTAGATGTATGTGTATTTACATATGTTCACACACCTGCTCACAAGCATACACGCAAAGATAAACACAAACAAAAGAACGCACATCATCACACCAGGACACTCCAAAATGCACACAGCAAAGGGGACAGGTTACATGTTTTAGTTTGCCTGCCATTATATCAAAGCCACAACATCTTCCAGATATAATAGGAATTCCATGTCCCGTTTGGAGGGATCCCCGCTGAGTTCCTTCCGTCAATCTGGAGGGTTATAACTAGTGAGTAACTATATCAGTTGGCTTGCCGTACCCAATAGGTAGATGTCCCGCGAAATGGGGCGCCATTGCACAACCACCAAAAATGCTTCGGTGGTCCTTTCGGTTTTCCCTCACCACAAAAGAAGGGGGGCACCATCCAGAAAAAACGACACACCCGCTTTTTTGCGGGGGGCGTCCATGTGAATCTGATTCGGGTCCCAAATGGGTCTTCCTTCCAGGAGTGGACCTGCGGCTGTGATGTGTCCCTGACGCGGGAGGTGGTGCCCTGGCGGAGGGTTGTGCAACCGGCGTGGTAATGTGGATGGACGAAATCTTTTTCGCACCAGCCAAGAAACCCTAGAATGATTCGATTCCCCGGTTTCAACCATGGCTTCAAAGTGGTGCGAGCAGATTTCGAAACCATCCACTGTATGGCCAGGATTTTTTGCGGAGCTGGGGGGTGTGAGGCGTTTCGGGCACGGTGCGACGGGTGGTCGTGTGGCAGGGTTCGGGATCGGGACATGGAAGATGAGCCACCGAGAAGATTTCCCCCATTGGAGCGAGCCAAAAAAGTTGTGGAAGTCGGCCGCCGGTGTGCGGTTTGCGACCTTTCGCTGCGTTCACCTGTATTCATATGGGCAACCGACAGAGGTAGTCTGTTGTTTACTAGGACGCCGACCGAATGTCCCATCTGTTTTGCAAAAATTGGGGGGCGCCTACCAGATTGAACTAAAGTCTGTGAACGGGATAGCAACAAGGAAACCAACACGTCCAAGAAGCTGAGCCTTGGGTCCACCGCTCAGGTGGAAGTGGATTTCAAGCCAGTAGAGATCGAGGCAGCGGCCGCGGGGCTTTCGTTTTTTGGGGGGGCGGGGCACTGGACCTAAGACGGAACCCGGAAAACCATCCCGTTTGGTCCATCAACTCACTAGGTCGGCTCTCCTGAAAGAGAAACACAAATGGAACACCGCCCCCATCCCGTTTGCAGGAATTCAGGGAAACCCGGTGACTTTAGATTTAAGCATTTTGACCAAGAGAGTCACAAGGCACTCAAGTACTCCCTGGCACGCTAGAATCATACTCCTTTCTTTTTCCAAGCGAAGCTTAGTCCTCAAACCACCCCTTTTCGCCTATTTGGGCCGATCGACCCCATAGCTTTTAGCTGTCGGGAAAAGTGGATAGCACAGGTAAATGTTCAAAACCGAAACTCAAGCCACTGCCATCTATGTTCAGCCAATCTGACCCAAGAAAATCCAATGCTCAGACGCGCCGACGTGCCCGAGCATTCCTACGGCCTCTGCAAGTGCAGTTTGACAAAGGACTACTCAACCACCTAGGAAGATATCCGGTCAATTTCGTGAAAATTAAACAACAAACTGAAAATGAGGAACCTCTTTGTAGGGATTCTTCAACATGGGTGAGCTCGTTTCATCTTTTGATCGGTCTCCATCGTGCAGATATACCCGCTTTCCGGGAGGGTTCATTTGAGGGTTCCACAACACTAAGGGCGAGCTGTTCTTTTGGACCAGCTGCTTCTATTCTGGAAAGTCTGGTGAGCTAACTAACTTTTTGCCAACTAATGGATTTTCCACTAAACCACTAAAAGTTAAACTTTTAGCAGGGGAGCAGAAAGCAACCGAGTTATGGTCACCAGTTCTACTAAAGTTTCAAGTGCGTTGCCTCCAGCTTTGGGGGTTCCAAGTTGGGGATACCTGTGCTTTTCTTCTGAAAAGGCAAAGGCGGGTGGTGTCAAGTAAGCACAGTAAACCCAGCAATTGAATCGATGTCACTTAAACCCAGAGCAATTCAACCACTTCATGGGCTGATTGTGTTACATTGCAAATCAACTGAACCAATGAAACCACAGCGGCTCTTTTCCGCGATCTTTGCCTGGAGGTGGAATTGCCGGCGCCTCGGGATAGGATCGCTGTTGAGATCCAAAGAGGTGTGCAGAGGGGATGTGCTTTGTTGGCTGGTTGTTGTTACAACGGAGGGGCAAAGATGTGTGTACACCGGGGCATAGTTGTGTGTGGCAGCCATGGTTTGTTTGTGGCATGTGGCATGGCAGCCAGTCGAAGAATATAAAGCATGCGCCAAGGTCAGAAGTGCAACTTGGTACGGATGGTCAGCTCCTGAAGAGTTTTAGACAGACACACGGGTTCTAAGGGCCATAAACATGGCCCACAAGACTGCTCACCCTGGCACATGCTAGTTTGTGTGCTTCCCCACAGCGTGTGTTTTTGGGGGTTGCTCTTGGATTTTCGGGCTTGAGATGCGTCTTTGGGTCCGCCGATATTCGGATGCTGTGTTGCTGATTGGGCTTCCGTGAGCAGAGCAAATCCATAAGACAAAATATCCCAGGGCGAGCCAAGAAACCTGCCACTTTTGCGACCGAGGTGGGAAGTCGGGGGCACCAAGACCTATTCTTGCCAGCAGCTGAGCGAGTCGAGTTGCAGAAATCTCCACGAGTTCTAGTATCCCTACCCTATCAATGAAATTGGAGGGCCTGATCCCTATGGGACATACTCTTTTTGGGAAATACTAGTAAAGGTAGGGGGGATGCTTTAGCCTGTTGCCATCTATCGGTCCAAAAGGGGCGCCTGCAGGCCCCTCAAAGTCCATTCCTCGAATATGTCGAACATCCCCTGTCGCAATGCCGAACTGCCGAAGAGCATATGCCATTATCTTGATCCTGCCATATGGCGTTTCTTTTGAGACCCTTGGCCGTTTCTCGTTGAGAGGGGCACAGGAAAGCCAATGTCCAAAGATTCCCCGTCCAGTTGAGACTCAGCGGAACCAAAGATCCGTCGCTTTGGCCGGAACTTCCCGGCTGGGCGACTTCTGTGGGCGAATAGCGATACCTGGAGGGTGTCCGCCTTATGCCTGAGCTTTCTGGGGTCCATTTCTTGCTTGGTAGCTTCTTCCTCTCTTTCCAACAATCACGGATTATGGTTCCAATCATGGAGCCTGTGTCCAAGAGGATCTACGTATTCTGGCTCACCCAACAGTTCCTTCTGTTGGAAGAAGTTGTTTGATGGGGCAACCATGGAGCCTAAATGCCCCCGAAAAGACAAAATGGGACAATGCCACAGTTTTGGCCCCCATGCACCTCAACCCATTGCCACGTGTGCTAAACCAACCCTTTGGAAGAAAGCCTGCAATCAAACAATCGAACCCTGCCAGCACCTTCCAAGGGCTATCAACTAGGCCTGGGAGAGTGGTGATTCCTCCCAGAAATCCCAAACCCTAACCCCCCCCTTTCAAATCGTCAGACTCCAGCAGGGTTACTTAAAGGACACATTTGGGCAGGCAGCCGCTTTTGAAGCATATATCGATGTTTCTCTTTGTGTTGGAGGTCCCCCCCCCCTACCCAAAAACAAGATTATCGGTGTTTCTCTTTGTTTGAAGGTTACCCCCCCCAAAAAAAACTTCGGGGACTCAGGCGCCCGCCCAGTCTTCTACGAGTCGCTGGACGCCGCCCGAAGCCCAAAGCGTGAACGGCACCGGGGGCCCAAAACGCGTGCCTTGGGTCGAAGCCGAGCCAAAACGGGGAAAACACGACTTGGTGGCTCCCAGCCATCCCCTTGGCTTTTTAGCCTTTTAGTGTTTAGTGGTGGTTTCCATTTAACCCACTAAAAGTTAAACTTGGAGATCTGAGGGCAGCCCAGACGAGAGGACGCAAAGATCTAGACCAAAGCCTTGCTTTTTTTGCTTCTCATTTGAAGGAAAAACAGATGGCCATGGCACAATGCAGGATCCACGCACAAAGGGAACAAGGGGAAAAACACAAGGAAAACAAAATAGGGAAGAACTGCAGGAAATGTGAAATGCAGGAAGTTGCTGAAGTAGACAAGCTTGACCATGTTGAAACAGGTACGCCCAACCAGGATCCGGGACGGCTGTTGGCGCGGCGCGCCCCCAATTGCTCTCGGAGCATTTTATTCCGGGCAATTGTTAGCGAGCTCGGGGAATAAAACGAGCCATCTCCTTCCTTCATTCCTTGCCTCCTTCCTTTCCCTTCCCTTCCCCTCCCTTCCCTTCCCTTCCCCTCCCCTCCCCTCCCCTCCCCTCCCCTCCCGTTCCCTCCCGTTTCCTCTCGTTCCCTCCCGTTCCCTCCCTTCCCCTCTGTTCCCCCTTGCCTTCCTCCCTCCCTTCCTCCCTCCCTTCCTCCCGCCCTCAAACTCCCTCCCTGCCTCCCTTCCTTCCTCCCTCCCTTCCCTCCTCCCTTCCTCCCTTCCTTCCTTCCTTCCTTCCTTCCTTCCTTCCTTCCGTCCTTCCTTTCTTCCGTCCTTCCCCCATTTTTTAGTTGCCCGGTTCCCATGAGCCGAAAAATTCACCGACCTGAAATGAGGAATCTCCAAGTAGGAGAGCTTCATCTTTAACGGGAGCTCGGCAGGTTCTTGGCTTCTGGGGCTTAATCAAGCTTGGTGGTTTCCCTCTTCCTGGCAAGGACACACAACTCACTTCTGGCAGGGTAGCGAGAATCATGTGATGTTAAGACCGGCTTTTTTGGTGGAATCACAACAGGAAATTGCCAGAACCCTGGCAGCTTTGCCATCTGACTTGAGTTCCTCTTCCTGAGGCTTTAAGGGTAAGGACCCCTGACCTGAAAAGTGCTAAGCGCAACGCCGCTGTTGAATGCATGCCATCCGACTTTTGGCTCGAAGTTCGATTGAGGTAGTGCTGGTGTACGACGTGTCGAACATGAAGCCGGGCCCCGAAAGCCCTAAACCCAACTCTTCCTTGATGCGTAAATCCTTTCGGCCCTCTGTCAAAGAACGTGGATTCACAGTGAATACTTCAGTGAGAAAGCCAAAGCCAGAAGTTTTTGCCAAAGTCATCCAGGTGCAGGGAATATGGCTCATCCTTACTTGCCATTGAGAATTGTTGCCGGAGTTGCGTATCTCGCACCCCTTTCAACGTTTGTGTTTGAGAAGGTAGTCTTCAAATTGGTGATCTTTTTGGGGGACGCTTGGTTTCCTCGTGGATTCCCTCCATGCGAAAAGGGGGTGCCCTCCAAAGAAAGGGCAACCCCACATGCAAGTTCCACTGACGAGTGCCTCTCGCCCTTTTCGGGGAGCCCTCGGGCTCAGCCCTTGAGCAACATGCGAGCATGCGGAACCCACCCGTGTTCCCAAAGGTTGCTTCCCCTCTCAACAAAACATCACGTCTTGGCATAGGTGAGTGTTCTCCCAAGGGGATCGGGTTCAAACCTTGGCAAGAGCGCTTGGCCGACAGCTGAGAAAATTGGACGGTGCTTTGCCAGCCTCAATCCAAAGTTGGCTTAACCTACCTCCCACCAACATGGCACCTGACAGAGGGGGTCCCTTGAAGAGGAAATTGATCTTCCAGGGACCCTCCCACAAATGCTATGTTGGGAAGGGGAACTGCTTGGGCTGGATGCATTGCATTCCCGGTGACCAAACGTCACCGATTTTGAAGCTTCTATGTTGGCTCTTTGACAGCTGGCCCCTTGAGATAATGTGGGCATGTTTTTTTTAGAGTAGCCTTGTTGTGGTTGCCAGGAAACTGAGCGAGCACCACCTTTTTTGAGAGAGACAAACACATGGAAGACTCTCCGCCAGTGGTTTGGCCAAGGGTCCGGCGAAGTCGGCATGGTGTTTCGGGCATCTGGTTTCTAGAACCCCCAAGGGTGGTTTTGTCAAACCAAGTCTCGGAAAACATGGGGGCAGCAATCTTCGTGGACTCTCGAGCTTCAAGTCTCGCTGGGCTTTTGTTCATGTGGTCTTCTTGGAGGCCCACGGGGACCCAATTTGAAGTGTAAATGCTGGTGAAATATGAACCCAACCTGCGTTTGACTGGTGGTATCTGATTCCCCCATGGGAAGGTTTCGGGGTGTGGTGGTTGATACGGTTTGAAACCATTGGTTTGCAGGTAGCAACTCGAAACTCCCAGGCTGAACCAGCCGGGAAAGGGAAAAATCCCCGGTGTCCGCGCTCATTTTTTGGTCCGCAGGTCCTACCAGGGCCTTGTGGCCTGGCTCTTCGAGTTGTGCTCCACCGCCGGGGCCCTCGCTCGGCCCGAAGTCGGCTCGGCCCGAAGTTCGGCGCGGAAGGGAGGCCGAAGAAGACGTGGGGTGCGGGAACCCGGGGAAAGCTTGTGGAGAACCCTGAAAAAGGGCCCCCTAAAAAGTGGGTCCATTCCTCAAAAGATAGTTTGTTGGGGTGTGGGAACCCAGGGAAAGAGCGTGGAGCTCGCAAAATTGGCCCCCCAAACATTGGGTTCCCAGCCACATGGCGGTGGCCAGGGAGGGGCTCTAGCCGACTTCTCGAAGTCTGTGCGCCAGCAGCACAGCGCTGGCACAGGCGACAGGCAGAGGAAGAAAATGGGCTTGGTGAAGGCCTCGTTGGACTATGGGCGTGTCTGAAAACGGGGTCCGGACCCCCCTTCCCCCCAAAAAAAAAAGAATATAATAAGTCTCCTTTTGGTTTCCCTGTCAACAGCACACACACACACACACGCACACGCACACGCACACACACACACACATATATGTTGAAACACCCTTGTTTAAACAGCGTCTTTTTGGTTCATCGTTTGACAGGTGCCAGGTCTACACCTACAAAGCTTGCCCAAGCGAGACGAGCTTGTTTTTGGTAAGCACGGAAGGAAACATGGGGGTGTCTCAAAGACAAATCAAGGTGCCCCTCAAAATGGTGGTTGTTCTTTTAGTTTCCCGCCAAACCCAAAGGGCTGCCCCCCACCCAACGAGACGCCATGATGCCCAGTTGCCGCTTCCAGGGCGAATCACTTCCGTGGAACCCCGAGCTGGGCTCGACAATGCGCCCAAAACGGATCGACTTTGGGTTCTACTAAAATGGCTACGGTTTATGTAGGCCTCATGTTTAAAACCTTAAGCAAAACCAGGCAGCAAAACCGCCTAAATTGGCCAGAGGTTTTAGGCGCTCAAATCTTGTGGGACCTACGTGGGACTTGAATTTCCATCGAGACGGTAATTTGACGGACCATTGGTTGGAAACGAAGGCTAGGTTTTTCAGTAGTGCCCTTTTACCCTTTTTTGGGGGAGGGTTCCCCTAAAAAATAGACTACGGAAAAAAGGGTACCCTTATTCTAACCTCTCAAATCTGGAGGACCTAGAAGGAAACCAAAAGGAGACACATTTGAAAAAGGTTTTTGTCTCTCTTTGTGTCGTTTGTGGGCCGAGCACCCCAGAACTCCAGGTATCAGATAAAGGGGGCGATCGACATCTGTTTCCTTTTTGGAGGGGGTCCGTTTACGACAGCGTGCCAAAAAACTGGTGCCCGATGTTTTGTCCACCACTCTGGGGAAAAAAAGGCTGCTGAGTGCTACTGCATCTCACGCTGTTTGTAAAATCAGGGGAGGTATTGAAATGTTCTTGACTGTTGGCATAGAAAACTGTTCCCACCACTTGTCTGGATGGCATACAAAAACCAACCTCTCCCTCAAATCGCATCCAGATCGTTTCGCCTTTCATTTCGCTTCAGCCCGAGGTACGGCCGCCGTCCCTGAAATATTGGGACACCGGGGGCGGCAGCCAGGGGCCCCAGATTTGTTTCGATCCGGATCAATTCGCCGGAGGTTGGTGGCTTGGATCTGTGGGAGAAACGAATCGACCACTCAAGTAAACCTGAGTTGGTGGATGGGATTGGTTTGGGGAAAAGCGCAAACTGCCACTACTCAGGTAAACCTTTCTTGGCCAAAGGGAGGAGTGGACAGGAGGGAGAGACACATGAAGGGAAAGGAATGGCTCTCTTTCCATCTTCTCGTTCCATTTCTCTTTCTTTCATTCGGTTATCTTTTCATCTGGAAATGGAACGTGGAAGATAAGGAAAGAAACAGACCAGCTCTTCCTTGTCCGTCCGGACGCTGTTTCCAAGAGCTGGGTTATTCCTCTCATCGCTCGGTCATTGGTAAGCCTCACCCGGCATCTCTCCCACTCACTCATGCCTCTCTGTTTCCTCAGCTTTTAAACCGTGCAACCCGGAAAAGCAGGAAACAGGAAAGAAGAGGCACCATGTCCACAGCTTCATTCTGGTCTAATTCCCCGAACTCCCACTCACTTCGTTCCCTGTCTTTCATTATCCCATCCTGGCTGTTACCATTGTGACCCAACAGATTAACTCCTCTAGAGAGAGATGAGCGAGGTCGTAGGAAGGAGTTAATATGATGGCTAATGCCTTTTACTTCCTTATCTGTCCATTCGATTCTCTTTATATTACTTGGCAAATATCCTTATAATAAAGACTGAGAATAAAATGGAGGAAGAGTGACCATGGAAACGAAGCCCAGCCGCTACACGTTTGTTCGTTCATTGCTTACATCCATCTTTCTCCCATTCACAGCATTCTTTAGCGAGTGAATGGAATGGTGCATGGAATGGATGGGACTATTCCCGCTCTCGTCTCTTCCCTTGTGTCGCGGTCAGACCCCCAGTTCACCCACCGAAAGTTCACCTTTCAGCAGGGGATTTGAACCTCCATTTTTTTTGGAGAGGGTAAATGGGAACCACCAATCCAAACCACCAAGAAGTAAAAAGCTGCACTCTGGAACTCAGGGAAATCAAAACGAGAATTTTGGGAGGCAGAGGACAAGCCAAGTTCAGTCAAGAAGAGCTTCTCGGGGTGGACCTTTCAGAATGAATTCTGATCCGTCGAGCCTCTTGGACCGATACCGACCATGGCTCTCGATGTTCACAAAATCTGCTGGAAGTTCGGGAAGCCGAGTTGTTCTTGCTCAAGCCTGGCTAAAATTGACATTCTGTGGTTCCTCAGGCAGTCAGAAATGGAGTGGCGGGCTTGCCTGCTTTGGTATCAGGGAGAGCGGTCCAAAATTCCACATGGGATAAACTGGATAAATGAAACTAAGGAAACTGGGGAGACCCGCGCAAGGGTGGCTGGGGTCAAAAGCTACCCCCTCCAAAGACTCACATGTTCTTGCATTGCTTTTTTGTCCTGAAAGAAAAGCAGGTTACCCTGTAACAGGTGGGAGTTGTGCAGCACCAATGAAGTGCGAAAGCCTTCCGGAACCCCATTGCGGCAACACCACGAGCGGCGACAAAAACGCGGACCCGGTTGGACTCTGTGGCGGGTTTGATCATACGCGTAAAGCAAACAAGTCGTGCGATGGCCCCGAAAGCCGCAGGGAAAAGAGCAGCTGCAGCTTCACGAAGCAACTCACCGCCTCCGCCACCGCCTCCGCCACCGCCTCCGCCACCGCCTCCGCCACCGCCTCCTCCGGGTGCAGATGTGGATCACGCCTCGCCTCCGCCGGAGAGGGCAGTCTCGCAGGTGGCAGTGGTGGTAGGCAGAGTGCCCACCGACTTTTCTCACCTGCCAAGCCAAACTGTCAACTCCACCCAGTTTCAGCGAGGTCACACATGGTTTTGTGTGGCCGCTGTTCGCCCACCGGGCGCTGGGGGCATGTGGAGAAGGGTGCATGTTGTCTTGGCGGGGTCCCCACTAGACCAAAAAAGGGTACCTTCGAAAAAGACACGCCCGAATGGCTCCCCTTTTTTTCCCCTCCGGACAGGTCACTGGCTGCAACTCAGATCAGGTAAGCTGGGTCGTTCAAAACCAATCCTTGGTCCTCACACAAGCCAAAACCGGGCCGAAGCTGGCTCCAGCCTTCGCGGTGGGAATGAGCTCCCAGACCATGACCCATGCCCATCGAGAGAAAGTCACAGCAAGATGCGTGGGGAAAGGGGGCCTCCTAACCTGTGCTTTTTCTCTGGGCCCGTAAATCCAAAAGGTAAATTGGAGGTTTGTGGTTGCCCCCTTTGGAGCATGCCCGGAGTGCCTTTTGCGGCTCCTCTTGCGACTCTGCCTGCCAGATGGTTGTGGTTTCCCTTGTTGCAGTGGTGTCAGTGGATCGTATATAAACAGATTCCAATAAACGGATCCCAGCTTGCTTCAAAGGACAATCATGTGTGTAGCACCCAAAAGCAGCCCAGTTGCTAGAGTCCAGTTAACTGACACCTCCAACAGATTTCCAAACCAACCCTGGATCGGAAGCCCTCCCCCCATGTTCAACCCACTTGGTGCTTCCACCGGTCTTTCCTTTTGAAAGGGGTCCCTGGATGTTCAAAATCCGCCAACTCGGAAACCCACCCCTACCCCAATTCTGGCAGCTTCGAGGTGGCGGCGAGCCTGACATGGACGTGGAGCTGGGGGACATGAATGCCCACGAGCAGGCGGGATCTGTGGTTTTTGGGCCCATCCCCCAAAACGATCTTGCTGGTGCTCGGGGAATGTGGGAATGAACCCAGAAATTCCCTGAAAGGAAACCACCAGTTGGATTTATAGGGGTCATTCCCTCAGGGACCCTTCTTTCTGAGCACCAGCAAGTTCTGGAATCCTTAAGGTACAAGGGGTGGGTAGTTGAGAGCCCTCGGGCTCCTTAGACTTCCTTGAGGCTTGGATCACTTTTTTGCTTAGAAAATTCTTTACCAGAACGGGTGCCCTCAAAGAAACACTGGTTTCGGCACCCGGTTTGGGACAAAACCGTTTCGAAGAAAAAAGAGCAGGCAAGAAAAGCGAAGCAGGTGGGTCCTCAGAATTGGCAGGTGGTTGGCTTCTCCGAGAAACCGAAAAGAATAAAAAGGAAGGCGTCCATTTCCCCGCACTCATGAGAGAGCGATATATGTTTTAGCAAGCAATTTCTAGTCCACTGGTCCCCTTGATAAGGGACCCAACGAGGAGGTTGTTTATCTGGGGATGGCATCATTCTTCACAAACCAACCAGCCAATAGCCGGTTAAACTCACTTTCCGAGTTCCTGGATTTTTACCTTTTGGGGGAAGACCATTTGCGTCGAAAACATTTGGGCTGTGTTGGCAACTCCACTCAGAACTGAGCAAATATCACTTTAACAAGGGGCTGGTCCCAAGATCGT